ATAGGCCTTCTGGCAAAGCAGGGCACTGGGGCCCTGCCCACACAAACACTAATTGGAACACAAATGTAAATTATTGATAAATGTAAGCTTATATTTGTTGCTAAATACACACAGACTGCTGAATACACACGGACTGCTGAACACACACAGATTGCTAAACACACACAGATTGCTAAACACACACACATAGACTGCTGAACACCCACACACAGACTGCTGAATACAAGCAGAGAAAGACTGCTGAAAATGCACAGACTGCTGAATACACACTCCGACTGCTGAACAATCACAGACAACTGAATACATGCAGACTGCCGAATTCACACAGACTGTTGAATACACACACAAACATACTGCTGAATTCACACTCAAAGACTTACTGCAATGAGGGTTGCAGCTTTTGTGAGGGATGCAGTGTGTGTGTGTGTGTGTGTAGGGGTGTTGAATACACACACACACACACACACACACACACACACACACAAAAAAAAACACATATAGACTGCTGAATATACACAGACTGCTGAATATACACACAGACTGGTGAATGCATAAAGACTGCTGCATACACATACATATAGCTTCGCACACACACAGAGAATGCTGGATACACTCACGGTCTATTGAACACATTCACACAGACTGCTGAACACATGCACAGACAGACTTGAATACGCACACAGACTGCTGAATACACAAACTCAGACTGACAAATACACATTCAGACTGCTAAATACACACAGACGGCAGTATACACACACAAACAGTTAGGAGTGCAGTTTTTTTGAGGGGTGCAGTGTGTGTGTGTGTGTGTGTTGGGGTGCTGAAAACACATACACGCAGACTGCTGAATAGATACACAGACTGCGGAATGCATGCAGAGGCTGCTTAACAGGCACAGACTGCTTAACACACACATAAGCTGCTGGACACACACACAGGCTTCTGAATACACGCAGAGACAGATTGCTGAATACATACACAGACAGACTGCTGAATACACACACAGACAGTAGCATACACACACAAACTGCTGAATACACACAAGCTGCTGAATACACACAAAGACTGCTGAATAAACCCAAAGACAGAATGCAGTGAGGGGTGCAGTTTTTGTGAGGACTGCAATGTGTGTGTGAGTGGTGCAGTGTTTATGTGGGGTACATTATGTGTGTATGAGTGGTGCAGTGTGCATGTGCACTGTGTGAGTGGTGAAGTGTGTGTGTGAGGGGTTCAGTGTGTGAGTGGTGCAGAGATAAGGGAGATAATGTATATTATCATTTTACTAAAAAAAAAAATTCTCTATGTCCACCCCACTCCTTCCTCTCACCTTTAACAAGGGGGAGGGAACAAGCCCTGGTGGTCCGGCGACAGCAAGGAAAATTTAGCCTGCAGCTCCTCTGGCTGCAGTTTGTCTTTACTTCTCCCGGGAGCAGAGCGCTGGGTCAGAGTGTTACCATGGTCAGGGCCAGATTAAGAGCCCATTGGGCTTGGTGCTTACAATAATGATGGGCCCAATTACAAAATCTTATCGACAGAAAACACTAAAACAGTCATACCTGCCAAGCATTATGGATCTGGTGGAGGTGATGCTGGAGGGAAACTCGCAGAATATATCTATTAGAAAACACATACCCTGTGCTAATCTCATCTTTCAAGTAAATCCATACCCCCTGACAGCAGTGTCCAGTAAAGCATGATGTCGGTGGGTGGGGTAAAAGGGTGGGCCACTGACGTGAACAAATTAACCAGAACCGAACGAAGGGGGGAACATGCCCAAAAAGGAGGGCAGACGCCTTGTCTGTAAATGCTGCCTGCCATTCATGCAGGATGACCAACCAAGGGCACACTGTGCAAACAGTTCCATGAGTTTGGCATACATGCGTCTAATGATGAGCTATCTCTATGTTTTCTAAGGACTGTCTCCTAGCATTCACTTGTCCACTGCTTTCCTTACCTTCTAACTGGCAGGTAGGAGCTCCTGTTACACAGTCTGGGACAGAGAAAAGCTGTATGTAGTAAGTGTAGAAGAAAGGGAACATGCCACAGTGTTAGAGAGACCAAAGTAGCAAGAGCATTTGCATTGTGTACAAAGTCAGCTTTACCGTAACCAATTTCATTGCCACACAGTCCACAAGTTTTGTTCTTCTACATCTCTCTTAAGTTTCCATACTCAAGCAAGCACATTTTTTTTTTTTGGCCTACTCCATGGGCATGGACCTGGAGCTGCACCTCCATCAGCCCCTGTGTTAATCCGGCCCTGGCCATGGTAACGTGAGGCAACGCACCAACCTGCCTGCTCGCGAAAGAAACAGCCTCCTGGATCCAGGGCCGGTGCAAGGATTTTTGCCGCCCTAGGCAAAAGAAAGATTTGCCGCCTCCCCCCCCCCGCCGGGGCCTCGCAATGCCCCACCCATATGATCTGCCATATGAACTAGTGCCAGTGCTGCACACAGTGTGTGTTTACATTAAAAAGCCTGCAGGGACAAACTATAGAAACCAGAACAACTTTATTAAGCTGCAGTGGTTCTGGGGACTATAGTGTCCATTTATTGTGAGGTAAATTAGAGATTAGTGTCACTAATAATATACTAGATTGCCTACTTACAATCAGATGAGGATGATGATGGGCTGTGGCTGCAGTCTGGCTCCACTGGTCTGGTGTAGAACAGGATCTCTGGAGGCTGTTTGTAACTGTGGTCACAAAATTCAATGTTCTGGGAGAACGGGAAGCAGCTCAATTTTGTGGGGCCTCTTACATAGCTCAAGGTCTGGGCCCCAGGGCCTGACGGTGAGTATGCCCATAAAGCCCACCCATAAGTCCACCAACATGAGTCCGCTCACAGGGAGTAGCGTGTGTAGGGGATGTGTTATGTGTGCTTATGGAATGTAGTGTATAGGGATACCAGTTTGTGTAGGTGATGCAGTGTGTTTGTGTGTAAGGGATAGAAAGCAGTGAGTGTTTGTGTATACGGGATGTATTGTGTGTTTGTCTGTAAGGGGTGCGTTGAGTGTGTGTAAGAGATGCATTGTGTTTCTGTGTGTGTGTAAGAGAAGCAGTGTGTGTTTGCATATGTGTGTAAGGGATGCATTGTGTGTTTCTGTGTATGTGTGCAAAGGATGCATTGTCTTTATGTCTAAGGGTTGCATTGTGTGTTTCTCTGTGTGTAAGGGAAGCATGTTGTGTTTGTGTGTGTATAGGGATGCATTGTGTGTGTGTGTGTGTGTGCGCGTGGTGTGAAAGAGCTCCCTGTCCTGCCCCCTGTCCTATAGAGCTCTCCCTTCCATTCCTTAGAGATCTCCCCTGCCCCTTAGTGGTCTCTCCTCTCCCCCCCCACCTCCCTTAGTGGTCTCCTTTTCTCCCCGACTTTCCATTAGTGGTCACTCCTCTCCCCCCACCCTCCCCTAGTGGTCTATCCTCCACCCCCCTCCTTTAGCGGTCTCTCCACCGCCCCCTCCCTCCTTTAGTGGTCTCTCCCTCCCCTACGTTCTCATCTCCCACCCCCCGTGTTCTCCTCTTATTCCCCCCTCCCCGTGTTCTCCTCTTCTTCTCCCCTGTAATCTTCTCTTCTTCTCCCCCCTCCCTGTAACCTTCTCCACTCCCCCTCCCTCCCTGTAATCTTCTCCCCCCCTATAATCTTCTCCCCCCTCCCCTATAACCTTCTCCACTCCCCCCTCCCTCCCTGTAATGTTCTCCCCCCTCTTATAATCTCCCCTCCCTCCCTGTAATATTTTGCTCCCCTATAATCTTCTCCCCTCCATCTTCCCCTATAATCTTCTCTTTGCTCCCTATAATCTTCTCCCCCCTCAATAATCTCTTCCCCCCCTCATGATATATCCCCCCTCAATGATCCACCCCCTAATAATCTTCCCCCACTCCCCATAATCTTCTCCCCTCCCTGTCTCTCCCCCCACTTCAATGTCTCACCCCCCTCCCTGCCGTGTCCTTACCTCAAACCGTCTGTACCCCCTCCCTCCTGTGATGTTCTCCCCCTCCCTCAATAATCTCCCCCTCCCTCCCCTGTAATGTCCTCCCCCCTCCAATAATCTCCCCCCTCCCTCCCCTATAATCATCTCCTCACCTCCCCTGCCCTTCTGTAGCGTGGCCGAGCTGCTTTCCGGTCCGCGACCCGGCGGGACTGATAGGAAGTGCACACTGAGTGTGCACTTCCTGTCAGTCCGGCCGGGTCGCGGACCGGAAAGGAGCTCGGCCACGCTACAGTGCCGGGGAGGTGAGGCACTGCGGCAGCCGCCTGAGCGCTCTCCATAGAGCGCTCAGGCGGCTGCAGAATTTAAAGGGCCGGCGATGGGGGCGCAGGGCGCCCCCTCCTATATGGCGCCCTAGGCGGCTGCCTAGTTCGCCTTATAGGAAGCGCCGGCCCTGCCTGGATCCTACCTCCCTCCTTCTCCCCTAACAAAGTGCCCTCTCACCCTCTTCACTAACAAAGTCTTTGATCTCCCCACCAGCCCGAGAAAAGCACACAGTAAGTTAACAGGGCCGGCAGTAGAGATGAAAGATTCTCCCCTGTCAGCCTCTGCCCATGAGGTCCCTATGGTCCTATGCTCTCAGCCATGGTTTAAGGCTTCTGCAGCCAACCTGTTGTTATTAAAAGCAGAGTTGGCTCTTTTGAAACAGACAAATCCAATGTGAGGCCGATGCCTGTGTGGTGCAGGGGAGATAAGTTTTAATTACCGTAGGCTGTCCCTTGCGGCCGCCACCACCTTCGTATTGCTGTCCTCTTTCCGTTGCCAATGGTGTACTCTCACACATGCGCAAGTGTACAACACTAAGGTTTATACTGCAGGACCGTCCGTAGACAGAGCCTGAGTCGCACAGCCATAAATTGTGACAGCTGCTGGGATTGGACAAAAGTTGACAGTGAAGCACCACCTTTTGCCTATTTCTGTTCCTACTTTGTCTCATGGTATCTCTGGGTTGCTTTGGAATTTTAGTTGTATTCCAGTGCAGTCTGGATCAGTATTTCATAAAGAATATACAGCTTGTAAATACTTAAAAATTACAGACCCACATCAATTGTAAAAACAGACTCATCTTTTATTGCAATTTCATTTAAAACAACACACAAAATGCATTCACCACACAGTGTTTAGTGAATAATCCCCTCATTGTTTACTACATTGCAGAGCTTCCTGCTGCTTCGGTAAACCATTCCTATTGGGCAGTTATCTAAAACGTCAGATCAAATCTTTGCAAAATTCACGCACTTGAAATATAAAAACCACAGACATTGCGTAAATTGCTTAATGTGCTACTCAAGAAAATACAAAATAAATCTAAATTTCCTGTATTTTACTTGCACACCTTAACATGTGCAATATCAAAATCGTGATGTGTGGGGAATTTTAAAACATGGGGAGGTTCTAACACACACGACATGCAATGTCCTCATAGACCAACTTCAAATGTAAACTACACCAAAGTGTTGCAATAATGAGGAAGTGATCCTATTGCCAAATATCTCTAATTTGTAGTAAGTCATGACTGATGTGACACTGGCTGCCCTCTGCTGTGACCTTGTCACAAGCCATAAAGAGTTAATTAGGAACTGACCTCTCTCTCCCTGAGCAAACCAGTCTTACAAGCCACAGCCTGATACTGGCAGGTAGGTGAGGGCATTACCACCTCTTAGCAAACAGAACCCCTTGCATTCCTGTAGCAGCTCAGAGACTGTGCAGCCTGTGGTAGGAGGGGTGACCCAGTGCCAGTTTGCCCTCTAGCAATCTAGTAAAGGTGGATCAGCTGTTGCTGAGGTGAAGAGTCAATCAAACCGTTGCCAGGCACAAGGCTTCTCCATGCCCCGAACGATGTATAGGTGTGCAAAGGTGACCGTTTTATTGAAGGAGTGAGATATAGGATAAGGAAGGGCTAGTCCACCTCCTCTCTCTCCTTCACGAGTGATGCCCCACCCTTCCCCCTGATTGAGCCTGACAGACTGGTTAGATACCTGTGGATCTGAGAGCCTGCTCCTGCCTTCCTCTCTGCTCTTGTTTCATGACAGCACCAAACTTGTGGACTCTTCAATGGCTAACCCTAAACTTGCTTACTGCAATGGGAATCACACTGGGCCCCAGAACCATCTGAAAAATGGACTTTCCAAAAGAAACGGCCTCCATAAAACTCTGCAGGTAAGTGCTGCTGAACTTCACCCTCTCAGTGCCAGGACTCCAGGAGGGGTGGGCGCTGGCAATCAGTGCATTCAGTTCTGTGTGTCTGGCCCAGCACTTCTAACAAGCTTTGCAACATTGTATCACAAGCTTAGAACGTTGTTACAGAATGAACGTTCCATTCTCATTAACCCCTCAAGGTGCGGTAACATTCCAGGCGTTTCATAATCTGCAGGGAGGGCAGAGCGCCTGTTCTTTAAGAGGTTAATAATCTAATAGTCCTGCTTTGTTTGTGTGTTGCTCTTGTGTAATTCTTCCAACCTGCTAATGATTTGTGTTATAATTAACCCAGCATTATTTTCAGATCACCTATCCTCCTCTGAGACACTGTGTGTTTGTGAGTTGGATCATTAGGAGCCTGATGAAGAGATCACAGGGTCTCTGGAGAGCTGGGGGCCAAGCTTGCCTTGTTACCCATTAACCCATTGACTGCCAGGCTGCAGTAAACTGCTCAGCTTCTCCCATTGGGTGTCTAAACCTCACCACTTTACAACACGGAAATAATACGACCTACCGGCAGGACTGACAGTCACGTGGATTGTCATAGTATGGGGGAAGGGCTGTTCAATCAATCATTAGTGTAACTGTTTGGTACCCTGGGGGCAGCAGAATGCATGATAGACATTTATTATTTTCTGGGTCTCCAAAATGTCTAAATAATTGTATTTATTATTAATTACAGTGGTTGCAATCTTTGTTTAGCAATAGTTAATTCTATTTTCCTTGAATTGTATGAGGAAGTGATTTACACTGAAAAAGCATCATTTAGAAATAAATGGAACAAAATCATTTTAATCTTTTTTTTTTTTTTTTTCTACTACTTTGTCATAACATGTATTATGTAATAAAATAGATAACATCAGTGGAAAAATGGCCCTCATATGACTAATTTAGGGATTTGAAGAATGGGTGTATGTTGTTTTTCCATTGTATAACTAGATTTTCTTTTTGTAATGTGGTGTTCTACAATGTTTCCTACATTATTTTCAGCATTTGTGTAGAGCCAACATATTCTACAGTGACTCGTATATTTATATTCTACAGGGATACAACTGCAAACTATTACAAATGTTAACAGGAAACACAGAGCTTTTGACCAGTTTTTGCTCCTTCCAAAAAGTCTGAGCAAATCTGGTTCTAGAAACACTCCAAGCAATAACCCCCTTGGCAACCATAATATAACTATACTTGTCCCATAAATATTTGCTGCACAGATTTGGGTTCTGGGAAAAGAGCTATATTTCTCTCATGTGGACCGCTATACTGTAAGTGTACACATGTGGTGCACCTGCTGACGAGGCTTGCTTTCATTTAGAAACCTTAATTTACGTTTGTGTTAAAGGAGTAGTCTAAGCACCATAACTACTACAGTTTGATGTAGTGATTATGGTGCCAGGTTTGGCCTGGAACCTCTCCCCCATTATCAATAGTCAAACAATTTTAGGATGGTTTTACCTCTTAACTGGGGTTTGCTTGGCTCTGTTCCGCAACTCTACCAGCTAGAGAGGTGGCAGCAGGGAGTGGTTCCTGGTAGACTCCGGGTAAGAAGTTAAACTGTTCTAAAATGGTTGACTACTTACAATGGGAGAGAGCAGGGCAATTCTGGCACCATAACCACTACAGCGTGCGGTACTGGTTATGGTGTTTATGTTCCTTTTAAAAGAACACTAAAGTGTTAGGAATAAAAATATGTATTTCTAACACGAACATGTTTCTAAGCCCCTTGGCCCCCTAAACGCTGTAAAAGGTTAAAAACACCTTTTTACACTTACTCGATTCCAGCGCCAATGTTCTTCAGCACTGGGTTACACTCCGCAGTGAGCACTATGAGCACATGAAGCCTTCCCCATAGGAAAGCATGGTGCTGGGAATCCAGTGCCATTTCAGATGAAGTGGGCTGGTGCCTATAGTGTCCCTTAAAGTGTTTTACTATAAGGGGATATTTTAACAAGGGTAGCACACAATGCACCCCACTCCCTCATAACAGTGACCGCTAATACAGAAGAGGTTTACAGCCGGTGCCTACTTGCCTTTTCTTTATTAAACAGCGGGCCCTGTGACCGGTAGTAGTTCCAGTGAATATATTCATTATTTGGCTGAATGAGAAGTAAGATTAAAGTAAGTCAGTTCTAAATTAAAATGCCACTTTTTATAATTTACTTATTTATTGGTAAACAAAATCAGCCTAGTGTATAGGCTGATTTTGTGTGAAAGTGTTAAGTAAACAAATTATATCTTACTATTATTAAAAAAAAAAGTAAAATACAACATATAACTGGAAAGGACACGTTACAATATCCCTTATCCTGTCATTGCAGCAGTAAAATATTTAGAAACTAAACTCATAAATCCTATCAAAATATAATTAAATCTGTGAAAATATGTATTATTTCATCCTACCACATAATGCATGTAAAAAGTGTCCATGAAAGAAAGTCCAAAAATATTATAAAAACTGAATTCACAGTCTTATTTTAAACCAGACGCTGAAAGCACCATAACAACATATGTTCCTTGCGCTGATTATGGTGCGAGGAGTATCCACACCCATTCCCCTCTGTATAAAGCTGTAGTGATTTAGAAACCTTTCTGCAGCAATAATCCAGCTCCTTCATTGCTAGCCCTTTACCTGTTCAAATATTTGCCAGTGCCGAACATTCAAATCTTTACCCCCAAAAGAGCCCGAGCTGTGGATGCCTTCTGTGTACAGATCTATACAAAGAAAAACTAAAATGAATTGTCAGTAAGCGGATTGCAGGCACTGTATAGCTTCTTCCATCTGTTTAGGCATTCATTCCATCCATCCTATCTGATGATTGGCATTGCTGCCATGTCCCAATTAACCAATCAGAGCCTCTTGATTGACTGGTGTCCGCTAAGCTCACTGCAAACTCTCAACCTATAATATTTTTATTTTTTTGTATATTTTTAATACAAAAATCAAGCTGGCATATCACTAAAATGTATTCATCTCCTAGGCCTTATGCATGCCAAAGGTCCATGTTATCACAAATAGTTTTATTAATCAAAATCTTAATTAGCAGATCTCTATAGGGTTCGTCTCAATGAAGTGGTCTGGGTGCATTGCACCTGTAACGTAAAACACTGTCATTTTTGTAGATATTTTAATGTTTCCCCTGCAGGGCTAAGCACACCTCTTCAGGGTGCTTCCACTGCTATTCAGACTCAGTCCTGTGACATTCGGTGTCCTCACACATTGCATGAGGACAACAGAATGTTTGTAATGCATCTAATAGAGAAACATTGGTTTCAGTGCTTCTCAATGAGAGTCATTTGGAGGAGCGAGTAAACTGTTTTTTTTTTTCTCCCCTATTTAATCAGGGGGGCAGAAATCTAAATAGGTGCTGGAACACTGTAGTGTTCGGGACACATGTTTATTTCCCTAACGCTATAGAGTTCCTTTAAGGCCACAAAGAATCTTCATTTGTGGAACTACCTATTTTTTCAAATGTATTTTCTGTTATTGTCCATCACCACCCTAGTTAAGATGAAATGTCAGCTGGATACTAGAACTATGAAATATTTTTGTTTCTATAACCTATCCGGGAATAGGGAGCTCTGAAGTTCCTGTTGTGAAGGTATTTCAGGTTTCCAAAATTCTTTAAATTTCCCGATTGTTTCCTGTAAGTAAACACTGCCCCAAAGTCTCCACCTTCACCAGGTAGAAATATTTACTTTCCAAAGCCATAAGGAGGAAGGGTCATTATTATAAAATGTACAATTACCCCAAAGAAAGAAAGGAAGCCGAAACGTTTTTAGAAAAAAATACATATAGTGTCTTTATATTTGGCACTAAGGTTGCCAATAGCTGCTTATAATAATCCACATTATATTCTGAAATTCCTTTTTATGTGATTTTAATTAGTTTTACCTTTTAGTTATTTTTTTGTTAAAATTTAATTAAGTCAGTTTCCATTACCAAGTGGTTCGCTGGAAAACATTGGCAATGTATTTGCCAGCTCTGCAAATCCAATATTGAATATTGTCATTGCAAATAAAATCTTTCAAACTAATTTCACTAACATTTACGTAATGCAAATTGTGTTTTAAGGTGAAAGCTGTTATGCAATAAAGTATCTGCTTGATGATACATCCGTTTTAAACATGTCAACAGTCTTTCAAATTTTAAATGACATTATCTGAAAATGATTAAATGCCTCTCTATATTCTATAGTAAATGTAATCTCATCAGGCCCCATACAACAGCAATAATACTCACTCTGTCTGTCTATCTATCTCACCTGAACATGCATTTATTATAGGGTGCTGCTGGGGCCAATTTATACAACATACAAAATATACAATCCAGCGTACTCGCTCATTCACTAAACAGTGATTTCAAGTCTCACAGATTTGTAATTGTTTTATTTAAAAATACCTCACCTAGGCAAAAAATAATGGGGGTTTAGTTACAGAAACATAGAATGTGACGGCAGATAAGAACCATTCGGCCCATCTAGTCTGCCCAATATTTCGAAATACTTTTAATTAGTCCCTGGCTTTATCTTATAGCTAGGATAGCCTTATGCCTATCCCACGCATGCTTAAACTCCCTCACTGTGTTAACCTCTACCACTTCAGCTGGAAGGCTATTCCATGCATCCACTATCCTCTCAGTAAAGTAATACTTCCTGATATTATTATTATTTTTAATTTTTTATTTGTTCCAAAGCAGGACAACTTATACATAGCACACATAACAATATCAATACACTTTCAAAATAGGCATATACGCAGCAGTTTTCGGCTTACAACATTATCCGCATGAATGCACATTCTAGTTTTTACATATTACAGAATTCGCAATCATGAAATGCGTTTTTTGCCTGGATTTTCCAAGGTGTGATTAACTCCCTTAAGTATCTCAAGACATCCCACTTGGTGTTTTCGTAGTACAATAAAACATGTAACTACTGTGCTGTAGCTTGCACTGAGAACAGGTAGGGGTACTATACATATTGGCAATTGCTTCTCTAGCCTTATTGTATGCCCTTGATAGTCCCGTTATGCACAATCTTGCAATTGTAAGGAAAATTAAAGATGGTTCAAAAGATTGGAACCAGAAAGAGAGAGAGAGCATCCTCGAGGGTCCGAGAAAGAGAAGTAGTTGGGGTTGAGCATGGGAGGGCTGAAAAAGGGGGGGAGGAGGGGAGTCTAGGGGGAGCCGCCCAACGATAAGTGTCGCAAGGATTGCATTGCCTTACTGACTTCATCTATCCTAGGCATCCCCTAAGTTTCCCTCAAAGAGAGATGGGCTTAGGTGAAGCGGTCTGTAACTTTTCTCTTCAGTGCCCTGAGTGGTGCGGTTGTATGGTTTATGTGTTTGGTCCAGTCTGCTGTTTTAATTACTTACTGTACTATTGATCCAAGGGTCCCAGATCTTTTCAAATTTCTTCGTAGTTCCTCTGACCTGAGCTGTCAATTTGTCCATTAAAAAGGTATCCTTTATTTTATGTTTTATTATTGCTATCGTAGGAGTGTTCCTCTGTAGCCATACCTGCGCTAGGGCTCGTCTTGCGGCGAGGTTTATTTTGTGAAGGAGGTTTTGTTCCGTTCTTGTCCAATCATCCATGGATCTTGACAATAGGAACACCCATGGGTCTAGCTTAACCTCCATTCCGAACACTTCTCGCAACAATGCTACGATCCGTTTCCAGTATATCTGCACCACTGGACATTCCCACCACATATTTAATATACGTACCCTTATGTCCGCAGCCCCTCCAGCACAAGTCTGTTGGGTTTTTACGCATGCGGCACAGCGTCCCTGGGGTGGTATACCACCGAAATAAGGTATATGATTGTTCCTGCAAGGATACGCACACTGAAGATGTTGCTGCTGCCTCCCATATTTCCTGCCATTCTATACCCTCCAGCACTTCATTCAAATCTGCTTCCCTCTGATCTATGTACTTAATGTCTCCCCATTCCAGAATGTGAGCGCTCAGATGGGAGTATAAACAGGAGATTAGGCCGCTCGGGAATTGTTCCTTTGAACACATTCTTTCAAAAAACGTCAATGGTGTCGGCGCCGCCTTTTTGATCCTGGGATCTCGGGCATAGTCTCTAAGCTGAAGATAGCGAAAGCAGTCAAAAGGTCTCTACTATTCAGTTCCTCAAATGTGACAATGGAGCCATTTTCAAATAGTTGAAATGGTCTCTGCAGTCCTGCGTTTTCAAGTCCCTTAAAATTCCTAGCTTTCATGCCCGGAAGAAAATCTCTATTTCTCAAGAACGGGGTCATTGGCGACGGGGTAGATGTCAGGCCATATTTGAGGGCGGTTGCATCCCAGACCCTGAGAGAGTCCTGTACCGCTTGGCAAGGCACCCGGTCCAGAGATCTAAATTCCTTAGGGGTCCACCTGAGGAACTGGGGGAGATCCGGGCCCATCAAAGAGGACTCCAAATCCACCCACCTCCTCTCATCAGGGGGTGTATGCCATAACGCTATATGGGTAAACTGGGCTGCCACATAGTAGTAATAAAGGTTTGGCAGCCCCAGCCCCCCGCTATCCTTAGCTCTATAAAGTATATTCCGTGAGATCCTATGTTTCTTATTCTGCCAGATAAACTTGCCGATAGCCTGCTGAAGTGCTCCCAGGTTAGATTTAGTCAAGTGGATCGGGAGAGCTTGGAAGAGGAACACTATCCAAGGTAGCACATTCATTTTCACAGAATGTATTCTTTCGATCTACGATATTGGTTTATCTACCCACGTCTCCATGTCATGTATTAGTTGCCTGATTAGTGGAACGTAATTCTCTTGATGCAAGAGGGAGGGATCCGCCGTTAACCAGATGCCTAGGTATTTAATGTGATCTTTCGCTATGTGGACATGATATGTCTTCCCTATATGCGCCGCGTCTGCATTGCTCATGCCTATGGGGAGTGCATTCGATTTGTGTAAGTTGACCTTGTATCCGGCCACCGTACCATACTCTGTCAGTATCCCTGTCAGTGCTGCCATAGATTCCTGTGGGTCCGTCAATGACAATAGTATATCGTCAGCGAATCCTGATATAACGTCCTGTCCCCCCACCGTGATTCCCCTGATCTCTGGGGTTACATTTATTGTTTGCATGAGGGTTTTAATGATAGGACAAACAGCAACGGTGAAAGAGGGCAACCCTGTCTCATACCGTTGCTCAATGGGAAAGGGATGGATTGCGTTATCCTGACTTGTGCCCTGACGTTGGAGTATAAGGCTTTAATTTTCGTGATAAACCAGGCCGGCATGCCGAAATGGTGTAACTTCTCAAATAAATACAGCCATTTGACTCTGTCAAACGTCGGGGGTTTGCAGCCTAGTTTGTCTCCCTATAAGATCAATGTTGCGTCTCATATTCTTGAACAGTTGCCTACCCGGTACGAAGCCCACCTGGTCTGGGTGGACCAGGCTAGTGAGAATTGGGTTCAGTCTGATCGCTAACACTTTTGCTAAAATTTTGTAATCATGATTAATTAATGATATTGGGCGAAAATTCTCCGGGATTGAGTCATCTTTCCCAGGTTTGGGCAATAAGACTATATTCGCTAGTGACATATCTCGGTCTGGGATCCCCCCATCCTGAAGGTCATTGAACCACAGTTCAAGGTGGGGCAGGAGTTCCTCTCTAAATATCTTATAGTAGCTTCCATCGAAGCCATCTGGGCCAGGTGCCTAATTGCTTTTCAGGGCCGAAATTGCTGCATCTATTTCCTCCACTGCGATCTGATTCCCGAGTGTTGCCACATCCGCCTCACCCAGTTTTGGGAGAGGTATGCAAGAGAGGAAATCTCATATCCCATCCAGTTCCCGTTGTGGGTTCGTGGCTGCACCTCTCGAGTGGTTATATAGTTCGGTGTAAAAACCTATAAACACTTTGGCAATCTTTGTGGGATTCGTCTGATAGACTCCCGCAGTATTCTTGATCTTTGTGATATGTGTGTTCCGTTGTCGTGGTCTAAGGGATTTTGCCAACAAGGTATCCATTTTATTGGTCTTTTCATAGAAGGTCCACTTTGACCACACTATAGCTCTCGCGGTGTCATCTAGGAGCGTTTCACGAATAGCATGCCTTATGTCTTGTACCGCCTGCAAATTGGTAGGTGTAGGGTCTGACTTATGCCGCTGTTCTGCCATTAAAGCTTCTAACTGAGATGCCAATAATTGAGATTTTCAACGCTTCTTTATTGTCGCTTCTCTGCAGTATACCTCTAATGACAGACTTACGCGCTGCCCATATTACGGCTTTTGATACCCCGATGCTGCCTCCCTGAGAAAGTATTTGTTCAACTCTCTACTAATAGTCTCAACTATTTCCGAATCCTGAAGTAGCGAGCTATTCAGCCGCCACGACCAAGGTATTGCCGCGCTTAGTTTGTGTAAAGTAATAGAGACATCCGCATGATCCGACCAAGTTATGGAACCCACTGTGGACTCCAAAACTCTGGAAACAGTCGGGGGGGGGTCATATAGTCATTCTAATCAGGATGTTGAGCTCTCCAAATATCTATAAGGCCTGACTGTTGCATGAACGTGTGCAATAGTTTGTCTTATCCGCCTCTCCTGTGGGACCGGGGGACTCCTTTACAGAGCCCCCATCAACTGCTGGGGACGGAGCTGCATTAAAATCACCTCCCACTATCACCATTCCGTGCGTTGTGGAAGGCTTATGCAATGCATGATCCTATACTGTAACTAAACCCCCAATATGTTTTGCCTAGAAGAGGTGTTTTTAAATAAAATTATTACAATCTGTGAGACTCAAAATCACTGTTTAGTGAATAAAAGAGTGTGTTGGATTGTGTAGTTCATTATATCTATCCATATTCTCCTCAGCAAGTCCCCTTTAGTCTACATCTCCCCTGCACTGCAACATTTTCCTAGAGCCTTTTTTTGCCAACATTCTGTTTGCCAGTTTCACATTTCTCGAGCTTTTATACAAAGCAGATAACCTCGCTATCTCTCCTCATTTTTTGCTGTTAACCTACCCATCCTAGGTCAACTCCAGAGTCTGTAATTTACCCATTTCACTAGGTGTTTATTATTTGCTTCACTTATTCTGTTTCTTTACATCCTACCTGGAACCATCTTCCTTGTCAAATCTATTCAACATTGTACAAATTCCTGAAAATCCACCAATTCACAGATTTTTTCCTTGACTCGCCCATAATTTCACCCCTCTGTAACCTCACTTGACCACCATCGTATCAGTCCCTCCCTTGCCTTGACATCTGCTTGCCCTACCCGAACTGCTGTGATTTCCACATGATGTTTAATATGTTCTTTGGAAAAAAAATCTATATATGCGCTCTATTGGTAAGGATAGCACATAAAACATGAAAATTAAAATCAGATGTCTGTGCTGAATCTACTGCAAAGGTTTTGTACTTTCTTCTCCTACAGTTCAGCTGAAATGTGATAATGCAGTCTAAGTATCCATATTATTTTGTATGAGGTTCATTCGTGCAGTGCTCGAAGTCTTAAGAAGTTCAGAGTTCCATATGCAACTGGCCCACAGTCTTGTGTACCACTAATGCTGGTAAGAATGTAACTGGCTCACCACTTTGTGTCCCCTCCCTTATCCCTTTTTGGAAGATCTGTATCCTTGGAGAAATAACCAAAACAAATAAACAAATGGAACTGCTTCTACCTTACCCCCTAGCAGTTAAAGTTAGGGCTGCAAGATCAGCATTTTTATTATTTTATATTTTTACTGGGGGATATCTTTGGGGTGTCCCCCTAGATACAAATGTTTGGTTCTTTCTTTGGAACTGTGTGAGAAACATGTCTTGGTGTATTTTGTTGATTTTTCTCCTGCAGGATATACAGGACACCCACTGGTTGGATCTGTTTTCATGAACAGCCCCCTCACAGTAAACACGCAGTTGGACCAGCCTGGCTGGTGACCTGGAGTACTATTGACCATTAGGATGACAATATTCTATACATCCTGACAATGGGAAACTGAATTTGTTGGCTGCTAGGCTTCCCCACCCATGGGTAGGAGATCGTGGATGTATGGGACGTAGCATGTTCTGTTCCAAATGAAATTATAAGTGAAATAATGGTGGTAAAAAAAAATCCAATTTAAAAATTCCACCCAAAATTGACATCTATTACATGGTTCATTAAGCTGTCCACTCTGCAATTCGTATATGCATTTACCAAGGTGACCTGGCAATATGTTACACTGCTTGTTTCATGTTACCGCTCCTGGCTTTTAACTTCTGTTTGTGTTTTTGAGTTGGATTACTACGTTTTTGTTTTATATAATCATTTTTTTTTTTTATAATATAATACATGGGCGAACTTTACGTATCCAAATAATAAATCAGATAATAGCCTATAAAGCATATGTGAAAAACCTATTGCTATGACTTAACACAATAATGTCATTTACTTTTATGTAACTTAAAGGGACATTCCAAATTCCTAAGCTCGCTTGACTAATAGACTTAATTTTAAAGAGACAGTATGCATTAAAAATTCTTCCATATTTTCTTGGATATATTCCTTATGAAGAGGTGTTCAAAACCACCAAGTAAAGAATATCTATACACACATAAAAACATGCTTTATAGAAATTCTACATTAATCATTTATTTTATTAGTAAAAGACCACTCCACACCCAAAAAGCTCTTTAGCTTACAAAGGATGTATTTCATAAGAATTGCAGCTTTTCCAAAGCTTTTTTTTAAAATAAATCGCAATTAACACATGCTTGCATTGCAAATATTGTGGAATATTGATACAGTAGGCCGTAGCAAATTCATTTTGTATCCTGGTTTAGTTCTATGTATGGTTGCCATAACTATGCGGTTATGTTTAACTGTGTTGCCAGTAGAGGAAGTAACTGCATATGTTCCCAACATGTGGAACACGTTTTAAGTCCCTTTTGGTTTTCGAGGGAGCCATAACTATAGAAATTGATGTTTGATAGATATGATGTAGGTGTGTTCCTATCTACCACTTCTTATATATTAACCTATAGCTATTTAGATTTATAAATGATTTTTTTTTACATGTATGTTTATAAGGTTGAAAAATTTGCATACATATGTCACTTGCCCTATCCATTATGGCGCACCTGGTGTGGCAGCACAAATATGAATAATTGTCTCGATTACGGAGTCTCAAGTAAATTGCTTCAATCACAGTGTGTATTATGGAGAATAATGTAATGCATGGATAGCATTACCCACAATACAGTGCCTGGTTAGAAAACCTTATCAATTTGTTAGTTCAATGTACCTTCCTGAGAGGTTCTCTCACTGAGTCACCAAGCACCAATTTTTATTTTTGTTTTGTGTCTGCCGCCATTTAATCAGATACTTTCCCAAATCGTAATGTCTGGAGCAAAGCTGGGTAGAGACAGACTGCAGTTGCTATCTGGAAGTGTAACTCCAATCAATCTCTGTGCTAATTATTAAAGAAACACTATAGTGTTAGGTATACAAACATGTACATACCTCCCAACTGACCTTATTTTTGGGTGCAATTACTCCTTCCGTTCCTCTTTATTTCTATAAATCCATTGCTGGTGTTTTTTTTCTTTATTTTTATTACTTTCCTGCATTACTGACTTCTCAAACGTGATCATATCATCTAAAATGAAATTAGTGGGGAAGTACGTAGATTTTTTTTCTTCCCATGTAGTATGAATGTACTGTGACTGGGGTTGTGTCACGAGGTATAACCCCAACACGCAGAGTTTAGGATGGCAAGGAAAACCATGTTACTGGGCATTAGAGTGGCCAGAATCAGCGTAAACTAGAGAAAAGCCTAGTCAATAAAGAAGCTGAGGTCAAGGTAACAGAGAGACAGCAAAAACGAGAACTAGCCAAAGTCGGGTACACGGCAAGGGTTAAAGACAAACTGTCAGGAACAAAGCCAAGGTCAGTACCAGAATATAACACGATGAATCAAAGACCTCCCTAAAGGCTACTGGGAACATAAACCATAATAGGGCACAATGGATAAGGCCAGGAAAGTTTAAATGCCTTTAAGTGAGTTTTGATTGGTCCACGTCATGCCTGTCACCCCCAAACGATGCGTGTACAGGGATGCTGGAAGTGATGTGGGCCTTCCATTGTACCTTTAAGAATGTGCTCTGTACGCGAGCAGCATTCTCACCTATAATATTGAGGCCACGCCATGGATCATAACAGTTTCGGCCCGTGGCCCGCTCAGAAGTGGAGGATGGTTTGAGGACCATGTATATAACACTACAGGTTGTAGATAAGGGCCATATGTCTATCATTTCTCATCAAAAAATCGAGTGTTTAAACTTATTCCCATATACATGTATTTGTTGGAACAAATTTGTCATTTATTGAGAACTTTCTGTTTTGATTTTAATAGTGTGGTGCTTGTTAGGCTAATGATTGATTTATCTAATATCTGTCTCCTTTCCTCTTTTTGGTCTTAAATCCTTCACTATTCCTCCTTCCTCAGTCTAAACTCTTTTGACTTTTGCCCGGTCAACTTGAGTGGGGGGTGGGGGGGGTGCTCTTTCGAGTGTTGGCCTTGATCATAGCAGAAGTTCATCATTAGACCCCATCGCCCTTTGTTTAGAACACTAGGACCCTGCAGCGAGGACTGAAACAGCCCTTCCATCTAAAACATTGCTTGTTTAGTACACAGGGCAATGTTTTTTATTAAAGGGTTAAACAGGACTCTAGTAGCTGTCTTCCTGACCGGCACTAAATTACTTAGCTTTGCAATGATCAAGTTTTTATAGTGTCTTAGTCCCTATTTGGATTCAGCCCCTGCTCCTTTTCAACTGTAAATAAAATGGAGAAAGGGATTTTTTTTTTCCCAGTGCAGAGACTCACTTGATGCTGCCGCCCGTACCATCTCCCATGTTTGTCCACCCAGTCAGTGAGCTGCATTTGATTACTTTTACACCGAGCATCACATGACCCAGTGAAAGTCGGTCGTTACAAAGCAAGCTCCTTTAGTGCTGGTCAGGAAGACAGCCAATAGATTTATGTTTAAACCTTTAATCAAAACATTGTCGTATGTACTAAACGACAATGTTTTAGATTGGGATAAAAATATAGGGCCACTGCACCCAGAACACTTTATTGAGATGAAGAGATCTGGGTGCCTGTAGTGATCCTTTAACCTTAACAGGGTCTGAAATGTCAGGAATGAAAAGTGAAATGTACATTTTAAAAAAATGCCGTTTTTTATTTTTGTTTTTTTTCTTATTTATTTTTTTTCAAAATATCCTAAATAAAAATAACTGTCTGGGAGAATTATATACCCTTAAAAATTTGACTTGCACTTGAATTACTAACAATTTACACATTAATCTACTAACTTCAGTTTTAACCCTGTGATTTAAAAAAAAAAAAATGTCAAAGTTACATAAAACTAAAACATGTATTACAGGAAAATAATGTTATCTCAGAAATCATTCCATAAACCACTTAACCTTTGGTCTTGTAGTTGATTGTGATGTCTCGAACTCCTCTTCGACACTATTCCATGAATACTTACTCAGCTTATCATGTATCATTTATACATATTATTCTATATTGTACACACTTGGCGGGAGGTGGTGACGTTTCATAAAGATGAGGTGCTTGAATGACCCGCCTAATGATCAGTTGGACTCGTATAAAATATGAATATGGGCATAAAAATAAAACTATTATAATTTTACCTTTAAAATGAAATAAAGATATGATCCCACGGTCCTCCATAGGCCTCAGTGCTGTGCATGCGCAAGCGTACATCAGTGATATCGGCTATAGGTGCTTAAGTGCCAGGAGCAGAAGTGGACCGGCTGGGAGAAGATGGCTGCGCCCCCGAGTGACAAGTTAAAATAAGTTTAAGTCACTTTTGCCCCCGCAAGGGTTAAAAAATAGAAAATCTTTTCACTTACCTGGCTTTGTCTCTGCCGCCTCTGAAGTCATTGCGAAGGAAAACCTAATGCACTTGATGTGGGGATTTAGAAGACGTTGGGTGTCCTCTTGCAATGCGTGACAACTTCCAACTTTGTTTTACTGAGTTTAAACTTCATGAAGCAGCAGGAAGTGCCTGTAGAGGTAGCCTTAACCCGGCAATGTAAGCATTGAAGTGTCTCTTAAACTGCAGTGTTTTAAGCAGCAAGGTTAGGGGATCTGGCACACTGCACCAAGACCACTTCAATGAGATGAAGTGGGTTGGGTGCCTATAGTGTCCCTTTAATCAATAGCTTGGTGGTAGAATGGTGTAATCATTATCTTCGTGGACCATGTAACTGTGTTTACCTGAGCATCTTGAAAATGTAAGAAATATTTTTGTAATGAGAGACAAAAATATAAAATCAATTTTCCACGACTCTTTTTGGAATTTTTGAATAGGTACAGGATAGAGGGTTATGCATTGTTGATGACCTGCATATCTCAAGTTGGACTATGAAAAGTCCTTGGGCATAGAAATCATGTTTCCACAACAATCCCAGAGTTCCCAGCTAGACATGCAAATGAGCACAGACAGGTATTGTGGTTCAGTCTCCATAGACCATTTCTGCAGACACCCTTATCAATGGACAATGTTTTAAACCCAGCTTTTAATAAAGCATTGCATCAGTGACCAGAAACCAGCCATGGACTGCAGTTTCAACCTTGTGGGTCTTATCAGCATGGAGCCAGTTCTGGTCTGGAAGTTGGTGTGTGTTTAGGAGTTAGGGTTATTGTTTGCGTCAAGTGATTCTATTTTATTTTAGGTCCTTACATCAATTATTTACGAGATAGACCTCCTTGATGGCCTTCACCCTTGCTCTCTGTCATTGTAATCTATCGTCTTTACAGAGGCAATGTGTAATCTCTAACTTTTTTCTCTCCTTTTCCCTTTCCCTTTCCCTTTCCCCATTTTCTGTAAAGTAAATATTATTTCTGGTTCTCATCGTTATTAGTCTTAAAAGGAAGAATTAAATTATCCAATGTCCAGCTGACCGTCCATTGTATTTTCAGTAAAGTCAAAGGGTGTGGTGGCCCAAAATATGTTTCTTCTATCTTAGAGTTTAGTATAGAACATTCTCAAAAATGTATACTTAATAAATGAACATGTCTTGCACAAACTCAAGAAAGATATGAGCCTGTGATGCTATCTGATCAAATCTCAGAAATTCTATTTAATATAATTGTATTGTATAGAAATTTGTAGGAGGCCATTTAAAGGTTTGTGTAAAGGGTTACTTCAACTTTACTGACTCCTACCAACATATCTACTTCTAAAAGTGGTCGTTGAACTGCACTTTTGTGCTGGGGGCTATTTACACCCCTGTTCTGGGCGACCAAATGTCTGTTCTGCGCAATAATTATACAGGCAGTGCGTTGGCAAGAGTGAACTTTTTCTCCCCTTGCTCCTACTATTGCCGTTTAGCTCTGAGCCAGTGAAACTGTCTGATCAGTTTCGCCGGCTCTTCCCTTTTAAAAAGCCTTTTATTGACTGTGCAATGCCCTGTGTGTGTGTGTGTGTGTGTGTGTGTGTATATATGTATAAAGGACCTAGTGAACAAGGCATCGTAATATTTAAAAATAGCTTTGGAATTTTGAATTTTAATTAAATGGCTTTATTGGAAATTATCTATTATGTAGAAAATGGTTTCCCCCCCCCCCTCTCTCTCACAATTGTCCAGACAGGCTCAGCTACTCTATATGAAAACGTTTCCGAAAAGAGAAAATGTTACCGTTTTTTTTTTCTGAATATTCTGGAATACTTGTTAGGGTCTCCGTGGATCATTACCTGTATGCAGACGTGAATTCCACAAAGTACAGTGACATACAATCCAATAATCGTCAAGCTTAGGTTTGATATGTTTCTGTTTACTTAAAACAAGATCTTGTGTTTGTGTACGGATTCTGACTCCACTTACAGATTTAAAGAAAACCTAACCCTTTTTCTATTTTGTTGTTACATCGTGAAGTTATTCCCTGAAAGCGCCACACGTATGTCATTTAAAAGCATTCTATAGTGTAATGAATACAAATTTGTATTTCTTACACTATAGTTCCTTTGTGCCCTCCTTGGCACTGCAATGGTTAAAAAAAAATCAAAAACCCTTCTTACACTACGCCTCCTCCAGCGTCATCTGATTGGGGGTGGGGGGCTACTGCGCATGCACGGCGAGCACATTAGACCTTTCTTACAGGAAATCATTGCTTCATTGCTTTCCTATGGGATTTAACGGACGCTGGATGTCCTGATGCAGAGTGTGAGGATGACCAGCGTTAGTTAGATGACTAAATGTCACCTAGCCACCAGGAAGTGTCTCTGGTGGCTCTGACCACCACTAGAGGCAGTCTTAGTCTTGCAATGTAATCATTGTAGTAACTCTAACACTGCAATGATATACATTGTAGGACTAAGAGGGGCAGGGAAACTGCACCCAGACCACATTAATGAGATAGAAGTGGTCTGGATGCCTATAGTGTCCCTTTAACTTTTTTCTTTTAAATAGGAAGTAAAATATACTCCACATATCTCATCTAATTGATCTGGTTTTTGAATAATGCTGAATTGTTTAGCTAAGTGGGGACTTTCTGTTAAAGCATTTTTTTTTCTTCGGTTAGTGGTTAGAAAGGTTATTATTCTCTGTCATGTTGTAAACTATTGACAGACAAACTAGGATTCATTTCTAAAAGTAGCATGATTTGTAAAGTGCTGTAAAGCTAATCGGAACACAAAACTAGGAAATCCGAAATCTGCTATACTAGGGAGAAAACGTTTCTTTATAGCCTATTATTCTACCTCGTGTGTGTGGTGTGTGCGCGCATGTAGGGTTGTGTTGATGTACCGTTACCATTGTAATGTTATGTAGTGGTGTACTTCTATGTAATGTTTGAGTTTTACATGCAGGGGTTTGTTTGTGTAAATTGTTGGCTTTTAAATGCAGGTTTATCATAAGTAGCTGTTTCTGCAAAAATCAACAACTGATTACAAGATGCCAAATTCACAATTCTGGGGACCACAACTCAAAATAAGCTTTAATTAAAAGGTTACCCCAATCATTAAAACCACTGCAGCCTGGCCCAGTTCCCCAGTCTGGGTCCCCGCCAGGTCAAGTGGCCCCTCAGAAGCCAGCCATTATGTGCAGGCAATGAGTGCAGCTAAATCTTTTAGGTTCCGTGATTGTGTACTATTCATCATCGCACTGTTTTGGTTTTGTCTTTTTAATCCCTTAACGCCATTACGGCGTTCTATGCCGTCGCGGCTTTAAAGGGCTTTAGACCCGTTGCGGCGGCATAGAACGCCGTAACGGCTTAAGCCCAGGGGAGGTCCGGCGTACTTACATCCGCTGCGATCCTCTTCTGGAGGGCTGCCTGACAGCCCAGGCAGCCCTCCCCCGGCGAATGAGGCCCCTGGGGGCCATGTGATCGCTCTCAAAGAGCGATCACGTGGCCCCCTATAGCTGGCTGTGGATCTGCCAGCAGAGGGATTGTCTGAAATATCAGACAGTCCCACTGCTGGTGGGAAATGTAAAAAAAATACAAATAAACATGTTTAAAATTAATTAAATGATATAGATATATAGATATTAGTATATATATTAAAATACACTTAGAATGACGTTACATATATATTATATGTATATATATTATATATATATAATAGATATATAACATATATTATATGTATATACGTATAATTACAATAATAAATAAAATATTGAAACAAAATTTAATATAAATTATATATTTATATGCAATTTCATTCTAACTATATTTTGTTATTAATATATATATTGGTAACAAAATACACTTAGAATGACATTCTATATAGATCTATATACAAAATACAAATAACCGCAAATATATATATATATATAATTACATAAAAGATTACATTAGTATACACGTAGAATTTAAATACCTATAAATGCATATATATTAAAATTCTACGTGTATATTTAAGTAATCTTTTAACATAACTATGTGATTTGATTAATTAAAATTTGATTGACATGCCTGACAACACAGGGAGAAAGTGCAGAGAATTTAATTCGCAAGCACTATATTTGACCCTGTAACTCTCCAAGACACCATAAAACCTGTACATAGGGGCACTGTTTTACTCAGGAGACTTTGCTGAACTCAAATATTAATGTTTAAAACTGGTAAATTGTATTACAACGATGATATTTTAAGTAAAAGTGAAGTTTTTTGCATTTTTTACAAACGAACTGCACTTTTATGGACTATATTATTGTTGTAATATGTTTTACTGTTTTAAAACACTAATATTTGTGTTTAGTGAAGTCTCCCAAGAATAACAGTACCCCATGTACAGGTTTTATGGTGTTTTGGAAAGTTAGAGAGTCACATATAAGGCTTGCATTTCATTTTTTTGACATTGAAATTTGCCAGATTTGTTATGTTGCCTTTTGAGAGCGTATGGTAGCCCAGGAATGAGAATTACCCCCAAGTAGACAACCCAAGGTATTGCAAGTGGGGTATGTCCAGTCTTAGTAGCCAGGTAGTCACAAACACTGGCCAAATATTAGTTATTTGCTTTTTCCACACAAAAACAAATATGAACGCTAACTTTGGCAAGTGTTTGTGACTAAGTGGCTACTAAAAAAGACTACATACCCCACTTTCAATACCTTGGGTTGTCTACTTTTTCAAATGGTATGCCATCATGGGGGTAATTCTCATTCCTGGGCTACCACACCATCTCAAATGTAACATCACTAATCTTGCAAATTTCAATGTGAAAATGGAACGTTCTATATTTGACCCTGTAACTTTCCAAAACACCATAAAACCTGTTAATGGGGGGTACTGTTGTACTCATGAGACATCGCTGATTACAAATATGTGCATTTTTTTGCAGTAAAACCTAACAGTTTTATGACATTAACAGCTAAAATGTCAGACGGAAATACAAATTAAAAAAAAAAAATCTAATTTTTTCAATTTTTCTTTTAAATTTTATTCATAATAAATTATGTTCCATATATGAATAGTTAATGATAAATTAAAGCCCCGTTTCTCCTGAACAAAATGATATATAATAAGTGTGGGTGCCCTTAATGTGACAGCGGTCAATTACAGGTGAACAGACATATAGCGCAAATTCCAGTTTTTGTTTACGTTTTGTTTTGATCAGAACGTGCATTATTGACTCCGTCCTGAAGGGGTTAAATCAGAGTGGGCAGGGCTGATATCCACATTTCCTCCTTCCTCGGCCCCCTCCCTCTCTGTGACCCTAACACATTGTGGGGATAGCTCCCTACAGCCCCCTGTAAACTTCTCCCAGCTAGGAGCAGCACTGGCCCCCCCCACCAGCTCAACCAGCGGCCATATTGGCAGGAATAGCCTGGGAGACATGGGGCAACTTCCAGCTCTCCATCCACAGCCACGGGTGAGTGACAGTGAGACTGTGTGTGTGAGCGTGATGGTGCATGTATGTGCAAGGACCAATATTTTGAATACAAAATAATAAACGCAGCACTGCGAATAATCTACCAGCACACCTCGCGAAATTAAGTAAATTAAACCGAGGAAATCTAAAATGGCTGTCTATTTATACTGGATATACACCTTCCACCTAAGCCAGCCCCCTAGCTTTGTTAGGGCGCTTATCCGCTAAGCTGCGCTCGTTCCTTGGGGCTAAGTTAGTTCTGGTGATACCCCAATGTCGCTGCCAGACGTATTGTTACACCTCCAGCAGCAGATGGGGTTCAACTCCGTACGTGCAGCAAAATGTATCAAAGTGAAACACTGCATGTACCGACTCCCGGCACCATCACCACTTCAAATTGCTGAAGTGGTCATGGTGCTTGCAGTAACTCTTTAATAGCAATGCTGCTGAAGGCACAATAAGAATGAAAGTCAGAAATGTATTCACATATACCTAATATTATATATGGATAATGTGGGGAGTTGCTCACATTTTCTGATTTTATTTATCCCACAAATTGTAAAGAGCACAACAGTGAGTTGGTGTGGCACAAAATGGCTGAATGGACGCAATCTATATTCTTTCTAGTATTTAGTTATGTAATTTTAATTGGTTTTCATTCTTTTTTGTGTATTACACCCCATGGTAACTAAATAAGAATCCTTTATTTTAAATCTTTAAAATGCAAAAGTCCTTTTTTTGTTTTCTCTGAAGATCCTTAAAATATTATTCCTTGGGTGTATCACTGTTACGCACAAGGGAATACATTTCCTGCTTGTGAGAATTATATGGAGCCGATATGGTTGCCATGGAGACAGACCAGAGGTTCCCATGTTATGGCAACCAATGATGTGGATGTGCAAAGTGGTTTTATGGGAGCTTTTAAAAACACAGCTCCCTCCACTCACCCCTAAAGTGTAAACAGTGAGGCACAAGTTACTATAAACGTCCAGATGGCTTCACAAATAAAGCTGTGATTACTTTTTATAACGTGCGGTATTATTCATCATTTCAGCTGGCATTATGGGGGAAAAAAGGGACGATAAAGAAATATACTAAAAAAGGAAAGTGTGAATTTTCAGGAATGAAAAGTGAATTTCAAATTTCGCCCATAACAACCAAACTGGAATGTTTCTCCACATTAACTTTGTTTTCATTTTGGCCTCAAATCTGGTATTCACTCTGAAATTACCTCTCAACAATTTACACTTTTAGGGAATAACTAATATATTCTCTAAATCCATGTTGCTCATTCAAGCAGTGATTTGTTTTTGTGTTAAAGGTGTGTGGCCAGGGGCAGGGATGTTTTGAGAAATTTTAGGTAACTTACTAATAATTTTTCCAGCTAAAATGTTATTTTAGAGAAAAACTAATGTATCTTATTTACACAGACTGATTTGTAAACACATTTATTGTAGTTTAAAGACGCATTACCCGGAGTATTATTGCTGTGGAGCTCTGCTACACACAAATACCATTTAGTTTCTAGACGAGAGGGACACATGGATTTGGACCCACGACATGGGGGGCCCAAAAGTATGTATAACGTATATGTTACTTTGCATTATAAGTTCTAAATTCTTTTATCTGCCCTGCACTATTCTTCCCATATGCCACACTGATCTTTAAATACACTTTGTTGTCATCGATTCAACGGTATACCTACTATTGGGCCACCCAACATATTAATTCATAACCCAAATCACACCCACTACCTAAAAAAGGCAATTGTAAACCTACTGCTAGTATGATGGCTTTGCATGTACCCAGGGCCGGTGCAAGGATTTTTGCCGCCCCATTCGCTCCACCGACTCATTCGTTCCACGCACTCATACACTGACCCATACACATACACGCTGACTCACACACATACACTGACCCATGCAGATGTAGAGATCCATACACACACACACACACACTGACCCATGCAGACACATGCCCCATTTCCTGTTATTCTCCCGCATCCTTGTCCCCACGTGCAGGGCAAGGGGCGGGAGTGAGTGAATGACACGCCCTTGTGCTGCTGCGGTGCTTGACTAGAAGAGGGGTCTGACTTAGAAGGCTGTGGTGAATGCCGGACCGATATTCTACCAGCCGCTAGTCTACAAGTGCTCAGTAGCGCCTAGTAACGCAGCCGGCTATATATAATCAATCCCACTTGATAGGGGGGCGGCCAGACAAGCCGTAAAGCCACTGCTGGTGCCCCCCCTCTCTAAGAAGGCGCCTTAGGCGGCCGCCTACTAAGCCTATAGGACGTGCCGGTAAAAATATGTACAAAGGATCAGTGCTAATATACCTTACAGAGATAAATAAAAGGCAGCACACCTAAAAAAAAAATAGGGCTCACTCACAGGCCCTATAGAATAGGCAAAGCAAAAAAAATAAAAATATCGGAGGGGGAGGAGGTGCCACAGGTGGGAAAAGAAACCTGATTAAAAACTATATTTACTTTTTGGACTCTAGATTATTATTCATCTTACCTTTTGGACTCCTGATTATTATTCATTATCTATATTTCGAACTGGTTTTGTTTTTCTATCTTGTATGTATTCTCTTATGTAGTGTCTTGTATATATGCTTGTATAGTTTATAATTAGGTTGTTTTTTTTTTTTACCTCTGGCGACGCCCTCCTCCCACCTCCTCTTTTTTTTTTAATTTTGTTTTTTTTTATATTTATTTATTTATTTTTAGTACTCGTCGACCCTGCATGTACCCAGGTGTATAGTAGAGTGTGGTGAATACATTATATATTTTTGAGAAACGTTGCTTATATCTCGGTGTGAGAACACAAAGCCTTTATCTCTATGGCAGTGTCCCCACTAGTTTTCTTAAGGTTGAAAGATCTACCGTTAACCACTTCTCTAATTGAAAAAATAAATAATAATATAGTTTTATGCTTCATTGTACCAGGAATCTGTTAAGTAGCTAAATGTGCATTAAAAAACTATAAATAGGGAAAAAGCCATACAATTCCTGATTGGTCAGGATAGGCAGAGCACGAGGATTGTGATCATGTGATTTCCTAAGGTAAGCAAGTCTGCTTGGATACAGTAACTGATACAATCGCTTTGAAGCCCTCTTATGTCTTTAGCTGCTGATGAAATACAAATTATTACAAGTAGTTTCTGGAATATGATTATAAATCTCTATTGCCCAAAGCAAATGGAAGGCAATCCAATTATCTTTCATCTTTACAGCTTATTCTTAGAGCAAAAGTTATTGGCAGTTATAAACAACATAAAAATCACATGCTTACAAACTATTAAAGGGAGGGTGCAGTATAAGTTCATCAATGTATTGCTCTAACCAAAACGCTTTGAAATGTTTAGACAAGCTATTTTCTGGTAATACGGTATATCCCGTACAATATGTTATCGGTAGGGGACCTCTCCTACTATTAAAGCATAAAAAAACTACAAAAATGAAATCTAATCACATACAAAATGTAAACCTTTTTTTACTACTCTTACTACATCTTTTTTAGGGGTTAAATATGTATTTGTTTTTTCTTTAACTCTGGTTTTATTGTAATTTTTAATGTGGGGGGATTTTATGTCTGCATGAGTTGGTTAAAATGGCAAGTTTGATTCAATGACCACTGAAGTTACCCACACCACTTCACTTCTATAAAGTGTGTGTAGTGCTCCTGTATGTTTAACCCTTTAAGGTAAGAGAACACTGGTGTCAGTTCTCGGGCCAGTACTTTGAGTGGTAATATTCTCTCCCACAGAACCCACTTCACATTAGAACCTATATTGTGCTTGGAATTGGATGGTAATGTGTTGAGTTCTCTCTTTCAGTTTGAGTCATTTTAGAGTTGGTAAACTAAGCCTGTGAGATTCTGAGAAGTGGCAATAGTTAATCATGTGGGCTGTCATTTAGGATGGCACGGGTTAGCTTTAAAAAGGAAACCAATTTCATCAACCGTGGTTTGGCAACTTAATATCTGCTTCAAATCTAAAGTCTGTTTCTGAGAAGAGGGAATTACTTCCTGTCTGCTTTTTTCGTGCTACAAATAAAACAGACCAATTGTGGACACTCACTGGTTATCTCCCACTTGATGATAAAGTATTTTGCCTTAAATTTGAAATTCACTTTGAATTCTCCATTTTAGTAAATAACACTGCGGATGTTGCTTATATCCGGTTGAATGTTTCACTCTTGAGCCCTCTTTCTAATTTATTATCTGTAATTTTTGGAAATGTCTAAATAAAAATTCTAAATAAAAGGATTTCATAAATGAAATGGACGTTGGGTGCTCTTCCCATTGATCTCCCAATGGAATGTAGTGTCCTCATGGTATAGAGTAATTCATGACTCCTTATGAAGATTAGATCTATTTCTACTGACTAAAGTGTTGTTAGAGCAGGGATCTCAAACTTTGACCCCACATTTGTTGATTGCCCACAACTGCCAGACTTGTTTTGGCTGGAATAGGTGGCCAGAGAATCATTGGGGTTGTAGTTCAGAATCATCTAGGGGCCCACAGTTAAAGATGGCTGTTGAAGAGGGATCGAGGTTCCCTGTATTGTTGTAGGATTTCATCATAAAAATATACAAGGAACGCTCCATTGAAAATGCATTTTCTAACTATTTAGTAGATATACCACAAAAACATGTAAAAAAAAAACAAAAAAAAAAAACGTTGGTGATTATATAATATCTTGGCTTGCAATACTAGATCTTCAGCTACTATGGACCTTCTCCTTCTTCCCCAGCATAAACTTTCAGCTTGTGCCAGGGAGTACTCCGAACAGAGCTTCTTATCGAGAGGCCTCTGTGCTGGAGCTGTGCGCATGCTCAAGCAATTGTGGCTTTCCTATGCTTCTCAATGAGCTGTAATTAAGCTCACACAAAAAAGGTGAAAGGCAGGGGTACACTAGCCCTGTGCACCTGTCTCTCCTGTTGGCTCTGTGAAGCTAATGGAAGCAGAAGAAAACCTCCCTGACCGTACTAATGAGAATCAAAGGTATGTGTGTGTGTTCCCTTTTATTTTACTGTGGCAGTGACCTCTCCTCATTCCTTCTTCCAAAAAAATGCTTTAAAGAAAACACACCCCTCCTGAGAACTTGTTCAGGGTAAATAATCTTAACTCGAGTGGGTATCTTCAGTGAAGTGGCAAGTAAACACATGCAGAATTGGAATCTCGTCGATATTGCCAACATACATAGATTGTGACATTAGTAAAGCATAGCCAGCGATTGTGCAGGATATGAGAGAACAAATAGAAGCTTGCAGCCCTAAACCGCGGCATTCTGTAATTACACTAGGAATTCTGCATGTAAGATTATCGCTCGATACATGATGTAGCATGTTAGACACGCTGAACCACCCTATAGTAATCTATACATTGGCTGAGTAGTGTATATAGCAGAGATATTTATCCAGATTTCCATACTTGGTTGTGGACTAGAACAGGAGTAGGCAACCTTTTAGTAGTACTGTGCCAAAACAAGATCTTGGCGTGCCGGTCCTATTTTGTTTATATTGAGGTGTGTATGTACAGTTTACTGCTTGTGGTTTTTTTGGGTGCTGCAGTTGCTTTGTAGAGCCGTACAGTTTAAAACATACTTTTTATCCAACTTTCATAACTCTAAAACTATACATCCAACATTAATAAAAGTCACATATATGTTTAATCAGCACATTTCAAATACAAACATACCCAAAAATCATTCAAATCTGTTCAGCCGTTTGGGAGATAGATATGTCACCTTTGACCGACCACAAGCACATTTTCATGCCCAAAAGAGTTACATAGAGTTGGGCTGTGCAGTCTGTCAATTTCACACAGAAAAATGTCTAAGTCTCAGTCGAATGCACGAATGAGGCCGTCCGTGCAAATAGCCCAGTCTAACAGTGTGTTTGAATTGTCGAACGCACTTCGATTCCAGCCGAAGCGTCGAAGTTCCTGAGAATGTAAGGGTCAGCGGTGTTCGTGCAAATGTGTAGCCGATTTTAGTTCCATAGATTCAGTGACACGCACCGCTGACCACGTTCGACTAAATTAAAATGGCCACGTGTTCGGTTTTCGAATGGTGGCCACTTCAACTACTTCGGCACTTCGACTGCATCCGAAGTGCCAATTTAAAAGTACAAATCCTTTCTCTAGGAGTTAAAGGGCCAGCAGCAGCACAACAAAAACCCATTATGCCCAAATCTTGTATTTAAAGGGCCCAACCTCCCAGAGACCATAATCACATGGCAAGAGTCTGGCAAGCAGTCCTCTCCAGGCACAAGTGGTGATGTTAATTTCGCCACAGATGATATGTCACATTGAGTGTATAGTGGTCTGTGTATAAGTGGTGCTGCTTGTGGCATTGCATGTGAGAAGCTGTTTGTGGGGTTGTGCTTATGGGGACTGTGTGTGTTTGTGTATGAGCTGTTTGTAAGGGCTTATTCTGCATCTCTGTGTATATCTAGCAGTGTAGGTGCTTCCAGGTCTGCAGGCTGGCTAGATACAGGTCAAGGGCAGGAGATGCAATAGCCAACGCGGGCTGCTCTACAACATTGTGGATTCCTGTTCACAGGTGCTGGGAGGAAGTGAAGTGATCTGAGTTTACTTCCTCTAATTGCTGCGATACCGAAATTGAGGATTATCATTCACCACTTTTAATCACTGCTCACTTTGCACTAGCAAACTTACAGTGCCCCCCTCCTGCGGCCCTGAAGTGTGTAAAACCCCTTCAGTGACTTATCTCAATCCAGCGCCTCCGCATTGGGTCAGGATCTGCCCACTCTCCTCCCTTGCCAATGCCAACTGGCGAGGGAGACCTAATGTGCACGCGTGGCAATAGCTGCGCTCGCATTAGGATTTCCCTATAGGAAAGCATTATTCAATGCTTTCCTATGGGGAAAAATCGGTCGCCTGAGGTCCTCATGCAGAGCGTGAGGACGTCCATCATCAGATAACGGACCAAAAGTCAGTTTCAAACCAGGAATCCCTCTAGTGGCCATCAGGTAGACAGCCACTAGAGGTGGAGTTAACCCAGGACATAATAACTGCAAAATTTACTATTGTAGGCTTGAGGGACTGAAGTGGTCTGGGTGCCTCCAGGTTCCTTTTAAACCCATAACACCTGATGAGCAGTTATTGCAGTGAATAGTCCATGATTTACTAGTCTTTTTATTGGGTCAGATGTTAACAGACTAATCTGGCTCGAAGTAAGTATGAATGATTAAAAATTAAACATGAACAACAGAAGGCTTCTGTAAAATGGTTTTAGAATTAAAACGTATTAATATTGACCTAATATACTCATTTTCCACTGAATAAGCAAATGGCAATAAAGAAAGCTTAGTGTCACTGTATAATTGAGAAATGAAACTGATGCACTTTGTTTCTTACTTCCTTTTTCCAACCAACGCAACTGAAAATAAAGGGTGTTTTGGGATTAAGTGCATTGGTTTGCGTTCAAAAATCATTTGAAGCAAAAACCGAGAATATGAGAACACTGAGGACTGGCAAAAACTTGGTAGCTTGCCCTCCGGTTAGTCCCTGCTCAGGTCCAGAATACACTCTGTTAAATTAGAGAAAACCTCTACCATTAGCATATTAGAATGATCCTGCTCATGAGGACAGCCCAAATCCAAAATGCTGGCACATTCCCTACACACGAGAGATACAGGAACCCCATGGTCGTTTCAGCCATATTTGGACCTTGTCATTTGGTTTACGTAGAGACATTTAAAATAAATATATGCTTTCATTCGTTTAGAATGAAATGCCCGCCTTGTGTGTGTGTGTGTGTGTGTGTGTCTCTATTTATGCAATAATGTGTTTTTAGTTCTTATTTCTTTCAAGATACAGGTAAGCAAATTTTGTCCTTTCAGTTTTCATGTATGTATTTATTTGAAACCAAGGTCCTGTATGTGGACAAGGTTGGCTGACAAGATGTGTGTGTATACAAGACTTTACAAATGTCCATTATGAAAAGGCATGACCCTCGTCCACTATAAAATGAGGGTCAGATATGAAAATATAAATTCTTTCCTTAAATGTGTTTCCTATTCAAACAGAATGGAACTGCGAATGGCTACAGCCTTTATAAGAAGCCGTTTGTTGAAACCTTTGAAGAAGCCCCAATGTACGTGGCAGTAATGACCTATATTGGCTATGGATTGGTCACTTTGTTTGGTTACTTGAGAGACTTTATGAGAGCATGGGGTCTAGAGAAATGCCACATGGCCGAGGAGAGGCAAGAACAGAAAGTAAGATGGATATTTAATTATTATTTTTGGTGGGGGGGAGGGGGTTGGTTGGGGGGGTTTGTGTGTTGATTTCATTTTATTGCTCATTTAAAGTTTTTCAAATCAGAGAGTGGAAGTGTATTTCAAAACAATAAATTAGTAAATATTTGGACATTTGCAGCCTGTTTGCCATTTTTATTTGACATTACCCATTTAAATGTGCAATATTTAATATGTATAGTAAATACCTTCTTTCCCGTAAAATAAGACCCCAGAAAAACTCACTAGGTCTTATTTTCGGAGGAAATCTTATTTCGGTAAAAAAAAAAAATGTGCCAGAAAGCAGGTCTATGTTCGGGGGAAAATATCATAAGATTTTTGAAGATAATTTTTTATTCTTAATTAAGAAAAGACCTTGCAGTCTCATAAACCTATGTAATTGGTCAAATTATTTCATCTGTAGATATTGGGTTAGGTTTTTAATCAGATATATACCAACTGTTGTCCATTTATAGATAGTGATATCTATTATGTTGGCGAACAGAATGCATTCTAAGCCTATATGTACCCTATGTCAACCTTCTAACACACCCTGGAGATTTAGTGTGTGTCAGGGGGAGATGGGATTGCTTGGTGTGAGAGGGGGAGATGGGGCAGCTGGGCCAGATGGGAGGGGGCATGGGGATGCGGGTGCTTCTGAGTTAAGGGTAGAAAGGGGCTTCTGGGTGAAGGGGAGACTGGGGCTGCTGGATGTGAGGGGGCAGGGGCTACTGCATTGTGCTGACTTCTTTTTATTTATTTTCCATACAGGATTTCGTCCCCCTATATCAAGACTTTGAAAATTTTTACACTCGAAATCTTTATATGCGAGTACGAGACAACTGGAATCGCCCCATTTGCAGTGTTCCGGGACCGCAGTTTGACCTTATGGAACGATTGACTGATGATTACAACTGGACATATAGGTAACTCCGTCAACTAGTCAGTGACTATACGTGTGTGTGTGTTTTTATGGAGAGAAATTAGATATATTTCTGATATCTTTATTTATATACCTTATTGCAATTCCATTTTCAGATTTGCTTCTCTTGACAGTATTTCCTTTTTTTTTTTTTTTATCTTCTGCAAGTCATAGTATCATATTGCACGCTTAAATTTGCTATTCAAGTATATGTTTATTTTTGTCTGTATTGCCAGAGGCATTCAATTTACACTATTTCGATATACATTCATATTCATATTGGATAAAGGTGTATTCTTTGGATGAACAAGACTTTATTTTGGAGCACTTTAATGAATTCACCTATATTTTATATATGCATATCAATTTTGTTCTGACATTTACATATCACATTTTTACCAGTCTATTTTTAGTTAATTTGATCCCCCAAATATATTCTTTATGCACAGTTTTCTCATTTATTCTACCTCCTCCAGTAAGTGAGAGTAGTTTAACATAAACCATATGTGAGAAAACCTTTAGGTTATGTGAAGTCTTGTAAAAAGATGGATTTCCAGAGTGGCTCTTACGGCACATTAATAAATAGATGGAAACTCACCGGGGCTGATATCTCATTACTGGGTGAATTGGCTGGTATGTTACAACCTGTTTTTTGGGGGGGGGGGAGAGGAGGGTTTCCGTTGCCATGGGAATGTGAGACACTGGTAACTTATCTACCATTTTCCTGGATAGAATTCTCCTCTAACTTGTAATTAACTAATTCACTTTGTCCATCAATAATTACTTGAGACACTGCAATGTAGTTGTAATCTCAAAATGGATGCAATTCAGTTAGATGTGACCGAGCACCTTTAATGAATTTAACCTGAAGAAGGCCTTTTGACAAATCTGAACATGATCTGCCCTCAGTAGAACCTTGGACATAAGTATGTAATTTTACTTATTTGCTTATTTCATTTTATACTTGTAGGCACACAGGGAAAGTCATTAAAGACGTCATAAACATGGGATCTTATAACTACCTGGGATTTGCAGAGAACGACGAGGATTTCCTGGTCCCAGTAATGGATATGGTGCGAAGTCATGGTGTCGGGGTTTGTAGCAGCAGGCAGGAGATGGGTAAGCACTATAATCACTGTGATTTCACTTCATCTTGTGAAGATGTGCATCCTGCGATTCTTCTGTTGATTCACGTCACACATTTATAGGTTGGCCTTTACATTTTATTTTGTATGAAGTGTCAACAATCTATCACTCATTTGAAAGTACGCATGTTCTATTACTTTTGCCAATGGTGAGCTGACAACTAACTTCATGGAAAATCTCTAGGTAAGAATTGTACAAATTTAGTGTTTATTTAAAAGGTGTGCTCGTCCATTTTACATTCTGTTACTGTTCATTTAATTTCAGTTATAGCAAAATATTTTTTCAAAATTTTTTGCAGGAAAAAATAAGTGTTATTTAACTTATCAAAATCTGCTACTCTACCAAAAATTGTTAAGCATTAACTGTGTGTTTTTTTTTGTCAGTTTATTTTTACAAACCTTGATAATATTATTTAGACTTTATATTCTGTATTGATTAGTTGGCGTTCTATTGTGTTAACAAATATTCAGTTCTTTTCATTATTTTTTTTTTTAATGGGGTGAAGAGGCAGTAATCTCTTTAGTTTTTACTGTTGGAGTCAATCCTGCGATTAAAACCCTCATTAGTAATCTACCTGGTAACATTCTAAGATGTGAATGTTATCTGCTTATTAAATGGAACCTTATCAATTAAGCTAGCTTTGTTATAGGAACACTATAGTATCAGGAGTACAAACATGTATTCCTGACACTATAGTGCTGAAATACAGCATTAGGTACCTGGCTCCCATCTCTCCGCAGATTAAAGGTCTTTTCTCCCAAGCCACAGCGGTCTTGCCGTTGCTGGCCTTCCAATGCTTTCTATAGGAAAGCATTGGAAGGCTATTGCGCATGCACAGCAAAACTGCGCTGCGCCAATCAGCATCTCCTCATAGAGGTGCATTATATCATAGCATCTCTATGGGGAATGTTCAGTGCCTCCATGCAGAGCCTGAAAAAACTGAACGTAGGTGCTGCACCCTGTGTCTGAGTGACTGCCACTAGAGGTATTACTAGGCACCAATATAAACACTGCATTTTCTCTAAAAAGGCATTTTTTGCATTGCTGAGGCTGCATGAACAAGCTATAGTCGCCAGAACCATTACATTAAGCCGTAGTGTCGCTTTTAAGTGGTTTTACACATTAATGAAGTCAATCTTTGTTTTTCAGGCAATTTGGATAAGCATGAAGAGTTAGAGAGACTGGTCGCTGAATTCCTTCATGTAGAATCAGCTATGGTGTTCAGTATGGGCTTCGCAACCAATTCGACAAATATCCCCGCATTAGTTGGCAAGGTACACAATCTTTTTTTTGCATGTCTTATAGATACGGTTAATGGTTTTTGCCTGAGCACTAATATCAAGACTTCACTTTTTGTTTGTGTTTCTTTTTAAATGCAGTATTTTATGAATAGTTGATGCTAATTGTAGTGTTGCGCCATTACCTTAATTAGGTTTTTCTAAGGATAATTAGTAATCTGATATCCAACATATATTATTTACTAATATCATTAATCTTGGGAATGGTGAAAATAATATTGGTTAGTTTTTTCCTGGTAAAATGTTGCATAAATGCATTTTTTATTATAAGTTTATTTTTCCCCTACAGAGAATTTCAGATATTCATATACAGTAAAATAAAACAAACTACAGGTTCAAAGACACAACATTGAGAAATCAGCATAATTAAAAAGCAGCACCAGTACGAACATTAGACAGTAAATTGTATCACTTAGATTGTAAGCTTGTTTGAGCAGGGACATCTTCAACACTTTTCCCTGTCGATATTATTTTGTCTGGCAATTACTTTCCATAATGTAACCCCCCACGTAAAACTGTGAAGCGCCTCAGACTATGTCGGTGCTATAAAAGCACTAGTAATAATATTTGCATCTATTCCACGTCCTTTTTTTTTTCTTCCCCCAAACGAACTAAAGAATCCTGATCATTGCACAGTAGGTTTTCACGCCATGGCATGTTTTTGAAACGGGATCGTCTACGTGATGATGGTTAAATGATTTATAGAACTTGCACAGAAAGCGGCCCAGTGACTTGCTGTCTTGTGATTAGCTAATTGTACAGATGGAACATGACACCAGGATAAAACACACATCCTTTGACCTGTAAATCAGGTAGTTCTGACGCCCTTTGCTTTACCTCTTTCATCAGCCTCGTCTTCCTGTTTGCAGGCCTTTTTTTTCTGTTCTCTTTGTTACGTTTCAGAAATTCCTCTGTGTTTATCAGCCATTGTCTTAGCAGCCGATGTGTCATAGGAACTGTCATAGGTATTTCCCTGGGCGACAAATGGTTGTCACCACACCATACACACTTCTCCTGCCTTTGGAGATGTTTATTAGTTATAAACGTATTCATTGTGTCGGCTATCGTTGCCCTGCTTAGCCAGAATGATTGAAAATTATCACATGATATAAAAAGGGGGAGTGGAGGGGGGCTGAAGGGGGGGAGCACAAGCCTATGAAATAACTTTACAAACTGAAACTTTCTTTAACCCTTTAACTATACGGTGCACCGCCTTCACACCAAAGACACATTTTTGTGTTAAGAATAATAATTAAATCTTCATTGATGGACTTTTCTCCCTCATCCAATGATCTGAAGGTTAGGATGAAGTATTTTGTTCCCTTACATACCCACCTAATCTCATTGGCCAGCACAATAGTACTGTTATTTTGGTGCCTCCATTCCAGCTGTTGTCATTGATGGGATGGTATAGTGCAAGGAATACAAAGTTGTATTCCTAGAACTATTGCCCCCTCTGTATCACCCCTTGCGGCCCCCGTTACTGTACTTACCTGACTAGTGCTGATGTCCTCCTCCTCCGACGTACCCTGATGAAGGGAGCTAATGTGCATGCTAATGTTTCTCAGAATCTGCAATAATTAACGTTGCGGGGTTAAAGGGACAGGGCCACTGCACCCAGACTACTTCAATTAGATGAAGTGATATGGGTGCTTATAATGTCCCTTAAAATAATTTTTCTGGAAAGAACACTTTTTATAGTGTTCAATCTTATGATTTTCTGCGGTTGTCTTGTATGCCCCCGATGACTTAGCCGTCCCTGTTCCCTGAATTTTTGAATTTTTTTTTACTTAGTCTTGTGATTCTCTGTGTCCTTAACCTGTGCTATATGTTATTACAGGGATAGGCAACCTTTGGCACTCCAGATGTTGTGGTCTACATCCCCCATAATGCTCTTACACCCATAATGCTGGCAAAGCATCATGGGAGGTGTAGTCCAAAACATCTGGAGTGCCAAAAGTTGCCTGTGCTAGTATCTTCCTTTTGTCTCTGTGAATTCCATCCTATAAGAATGATCAACCAATCGTGAATAAGGTGACAGGGATGGAATGTTGCTGCAAATGCTAAAATGTGCGTAACAATTTATTAGTTTTCTAGATTTTGTCTGGTTTAAGCATTTTCAAGTGTGGTAAATACTGATTTCACCCCACAGGTGTTTTTTTTTTTTTTTAATTCTATATATTTTTTTTTTTATTCTAACTGTTCCACAGTGTTTGGATTTAGTTACTGTAGGGAACCATAGTTATGCAGCTATTTTAGGAAGGGATTATTGTTTGGGCAGGCATATTTCCTGCAGATAATTCTGCTGAGCATCAAGCTGCCTGGTTTCCACTAATTGTATTTCACCGAGAGCAACAATAAGCTTGGAATGGTGAACATTACTTTCCGTGTTTTCACGATGCTGCCAGACACACCAGCATGTGCTAGAAATGATAAAATATATTTTTTTGCTTTGTCTACATTGGGTGTTTCTCGCTAACAGTGTACCATGAAAAAAAAACCAACTATTATGTTTGGTTATGCTGAAAACATTCTAACATTTCAGTCAAGACAAACGGAATCCTGTAATGGTGTAAATTGTTTAATGTAATTATTAATCTATACAAATGTTAGTACTTTTTAGCTTGTGTCCTCATAACTGCCAGGAATAACGAGTCCTGCAGCCAATAAAGTAATTTTATTTTTCCCTTGAGCTTTTAGTGTACATATTCTTCTTCAGCTGTTAAAATCTAAATGTACCTATTCAGAAACGGTTGATTGATACAGTGCATGTGTTTGAATGGTGTCTTTGGACAAATTGTCCCTATGTTTTCTCACCCTCCTCCCCATGTAAGGTCATCTTGAAACTTTGATGCTACGATTTAAAAATGAATAGCAGATAGTAGTAGACTTGTGCATGGTAACAATTGGTTTGTGTGAAAAGATTCTAATGTGTAAAAATAAATAAATAAAAAAAAGCTTTTCACATCGTCCATGTGATCGTTTTCCTGGGTAATACTATTTAGATGAGCTATGTGCTGTGAAATATATACATTATTAAGGAAAAAGGGCGGGAAAAAAGAAGGCAGATCAGTAAAAAAATCTCCTATGCATTAAATATTTATTACATATATATATATATATATATATATATATAATTATAATTTTTTTTTTTTTTCCTTTCATTCGAGTCTTTCGAGTTTTTTTTCATAAATCATTAGACTCGTGCATTCGGTTTCAGCTGAATTGCAATTTGTCCGCATTTAAGTGAATCTGTGGTTCGGCTAAAAGTCGTATCTCTGAAACACCATGCGGATGTATATCCTAGCACACCGCTAACGCAATAGCCAATCGTGTTCTTTTGTTTCCGGATTCAGAGTTCTGCGTGCGGTGCCAAAAACAAAAGCTGATGGGTAAAAACATGGTTGATTGGCTAGGGGGCAGCCACTGCATTGTTGCTTTCATTCATAAGTCAAGTGACTAGTGACCAATAAAGGGCGAACAAAGGAGGAGCAGTTGGAAAATATATTTTTAGTCACATCTATAATATATAAACCTAGATTAAATTGTTTTTACGGCACCTCTTTCTTCCCTCTTTTAGTTACATTTCTTACTTAAACCAACTGGCGGGGTAATGTTTATATTATGTATATCTTTTGCAGCACATTGGATGCATTTTGCGTCCTTTTGGCTCACACAAATAGATTTTCAGAATATATTTCAAGGATGATATTCGACTGAGCTGAAATAATCAAATGAATAAGTGTCTGAGGTCCTGAACTAAATTTAAAAATTTGTTGGAATCGTGCAAAAGTCTATCCATTATAAATTGGTTTTATTTTTTTGGGGCACTACAGTTGTAACTCTGTAACTCTCAATCGTTTATTTGGTGACATATCTTTGTGACCTTATCTAAATTCGCCTTTCAGGGCTGCCTCATTCTAAGTGATGAATTGAACCACACCTCTCTAATCCTGGGTGCTAGACTGTCTGGAGCGACCATCCGCATCTTCAAGCACAATAGTAAGTGTTAGCTGTATTTAAACAGAACGTCTACTTGCTTTGTATGTTGGTAGGCATGCTGGGTAGTTGTCAGAAATCCTTAAAAGCTTTGGGCAAATATATCTTAATACTATTCTTTTATATTACGTTTTAGATTTTTTTAGAACTGTGCTGTACCTTGCTTATAATTTACATAGCAACCCAATGCATCTGAGTATTTGTGTGTGTTCAATGAATAATACAATGCACATTTTGTGATGTATTTATAATGCATTGAAAGCCTGTTATTCATATTCACAGTACATGCATTTTGTGGTGCCAAACACTGCTTCGGCTCCGTGACTGGTAAAATTATGCTTAAAATATTCTAGTTCTGCAAAATAATATGCCTTGGATTCACTTTTCCCCTTGAAAAGCAATTACTCCCTTATTGAATAGTTCAGGATTGCTTGACACATTAACTGAGTTCCTTGTTGTTAAAGTAGTACGTTTATAACATGGATTGTTCTTAGCAAGTACCTTGCCTTTGTAGTCCTCTTAAATAAATCTCTTCCGTCATCTCTTTCAAAGCTGCTCTCAGAACATCGTGTCACTTTCTATAAACGGATATCTGTAGGCTGTTTGTCTCTTAATAAAACCTGGTAAAAATTAACTGGGATTGATCCACCTTAATGGGACATTCAGGTGCAATGCAAGTTGAGCTCCTGCAGGGGATTGTTGTGAACTAATGGCCAAACTGCACAATTAAAACCCAAGCAGGATTTGTTCTGCCTTTGTCTTGATAGAATTAGCATAATATTATTACCATTTTACCACATATCATAGTTTATTCGTGCATAAAAGATAATAAAATTACTGAGGAAGTGTTTTTATTTATTTATTTTTTATTTTGCATTATTATTCACATTTTATAGAGTGACAAAAAGGAGGCACACTGTATGGTTCTTTCCAACAGCAAGGCTGTAGGTTGGTGACTTGTTATTCATTTTTTGTTTTGTTTTGGGGTTTCTATATTGTAACCTTTAAGGTAAAGATAAAAAACAGGTTGTGCAAAATGTTGGTGTAGAGATGTTAAAAAATACTAATAATAGTAATCAAGTAGTAAAATAGTATTTACAAAATAGTCCCAAATTTGATTGATCAACATATTTTTCCTTTTTCCATATTATAACCTTACTTAAAGCATGTGGAACCTACATTTATTTAAGGAACACTCCAAACACCATAACCACCACAGACCACTGTAGTGGTTGTGGCCCTAGGATTGTCGTGGTGCCCTCCCAGGGTAAGTAATGACAACTTACCTGGGTTACACCAGTTACCCACCAATGCTTCCTCTGTAGCGACCCCAGTTAAGTTGCACCAGGGCAGGTCTGTAACTATAGCCATTACAATGGACTGTAGTGGTCATGGTGCTTGTAGTGTTGCTTTAAGGTTCTAAAACTTTCAAAGTTTACCATCTCTTAAAACAGGGTTCCCCCAACCTGTGGCCCTCCAGAGGTTGCTAAACTACAACTCCCTTGATTATTTGTATGAAATAGATAGCCAGAGAATCTTGGGAGTTGTAGTTCAACAACATCTGGATTTCCTGAGTTTGGAGAACCCGGTTTTACAATATTGGAACAATATAAGATCTGTGCAATCTGCAAGCACTATCTTTTCTGTCGTTTTACTATGACTTTTGTCTATCTTTACATCTGTGATTGTTTTACTGAACTGGGAGATCTGTTTGAGAAGAAAGTGAACTGAAAATAACAAAGATCGGTGTATATGGATTAATGTCCTGGCACAAAATCCGAATCCATGCCAGGAATTTTGATTGAATCAGAATTCAGTTGAAACTGTACAATGTCGTTATCAGAGATACATATTTTCATAGGATTATCTGCTTCCTGAGAATCAGAAAGTTGAACTTGATGGACTCAAGTCTCTTTTCATCTTACGTAACTATATTTGTAGAATAGTGTAATTACTGTATACAAACCAAGGTATAAGATGCCTGGTGGATGAACTAGTCTTTAGGGGCACTAGCGTGCTGAAAACTCCTCCAGGCAACCCTAAATTAAAGGACACTGTATGCCTGTGTCAGAGACAGAGAGTGTTCCCCACAACTATCCCAGAATTCCCAGCTTTCCATGCAAATTAGATTATCTTACTCACTCTTCTCTCTCTCTCTCTCTCTCTCTCTCTCTCTCTCTCTCTCTCTCTCTCTCTCTCTCTCATATATATATATATCATGTGATACATTCTGATACATATACTTAAAGGGTTAATTCAAGCATTATGGCTACTTGACTGATGTGAAGTGGTCGTGGTGTTTGGAATTTGTGCATCGTTTGAAATGCTGCACATACAAAGTTAAAGCAGTGTGCTTCCAGAGGTATAACTCCACCTCTAATGGCTTCGAGTTGGCTTATGTGATTCAGTTCATATTTGGTTAGAGTAACCCTGTATTTGACAGACTGCTTAAAGCTGTTTGAATTAATTCCCCGTCATTTAAAATAAAAAATTCAGTGATAAAAGAATCGATCTCTTAACGTGGGGGTCTGCTTTGAAATCTAGCGTCCCATCACTCATTGGGAATGCTAATGGCTCCATTTCTTCCACATCTCTCATCCTGATATCACATGGCTTTGGCATTGTTTGTGGGTTTGCCATCTAATGTCTTTCCCTGCTATTATAACATGACTGTCTAGTGTCTATAATACGCAGATACTGAGAACTTTGTATTACAAGACTCTGGGTGTTTGAGTCTTATTGGCCTCTTGAATATCTCCAATCTGCCTGAGCTGCTCTAACACATTAAGAAGGTCGAATTATTATAGTTTCAATTAAACAAAGCTTTGATATCTCTGTTCTGGAGAAAAGGCTTTCTGTAATAATTTTTACCGCTATGTGTTGCTATAATGCGGAGTATATCTTGTGTGCCATTTACGCGTGATCTTTGATAATAACCAGCCTTGGCTTTCCATTTAGCTAGCTCAATTATCCTCATCCATTACATCAGACAATATACTTGTCTATCAGCTGCTATACTAAAAAAAGGATTGAATATAATGTAACTTGTGGTATGTGCTTAAAAGCTCAAAATGTAGATTCTGTTCTATACATTCAGTTGAGATTAGAACAAGTTCTTGTTTATTTAATTGCTAATTGTGCTTATGGTTCCATTGGTTACACACTTTATTTATAATTATAATATTTTTCTCTGCTGGATGCTTCTAACATTATTAACAATAGAGAGAAGTATAATGTGGAATATATGTGCCTTGGTCACAGAGGTATGTTATAAGGCTAGACATCACTCAAAGTTGTACCATTTTTAAAGGGTCCCAAGAAGTATCTGGACAACACAGATTTGGGGACACCTGTCCTGTTTTCCTGGGCTTTGACCCCCAAAACATGCAGCACTCATAGATGCATGAGACTTTCTGGTAAATTCTGACCATATCTAGAGTTTTTACATATGTGCACCGCAGTTGGCTTCTGTTTCATGGCTCCTACGCTCCACATGTCACCTGTGTCTGTGTGAGGTACCCCCTATTTCTCTGTGTTTAGGGGAGCATGTAAAATGAGCCTAATTTTCTATCTGCAATTATCAAGGGTTGTATCCGATTTTAACTACTGAGAGCAGCCCTTGTATAATAACGCATTCTGTTCTGTGTGGATTTCTGTATGATCATATTGTGTGTTGGTATAGTGCTTTGATCGGAGAGTTGTTGTCTTGCTGCTCGTATATAGTTTGCTTTGTCCATAATCACCTCCGCAACCTCCTCATGTGCAGGTAACATAATGTAGGTTCTAGGCTAGTTTTATGTCTTATAACTCAATTGTTGACAAAAAACTACTTTGTGTGAGTTGATTGAGCAGTCTCCGGTTTTAAGAATGAATCACACAAATGCATCACACAATACATCCTACGTGCATCATAAAAGTAAGTCCTACATAAAAATTAAAAAAAACACAATTATAATTTTAGAGAAAATTATGGCCTGGCATTTTTTCTATTTATTTTGTCAACATTTAAAATTGGGAATACACTTTCCACTATTTTTCTCATGATAGTTTGGGTATTAAATTGGTTTCTGTTTTAAGTTTAACAGCTTACTATATTTCTAAGTGTTTTCCTACAAAGACAAATTATAGTATTTAACCACAATGTCACTTTGATAATATTTCATGCATATGCCTGTAATCTATGCAATTATTGTTGCATAATAATAATAATGAATACAAAATGATGCTTTATAATGTTCTGCGACTAACCATCTAAAATTGTTGCAGTATAAAGGAATTCAGCCAAATACCAGTCTCCCTCAGCCACCCTCCCCCCCCAAAAAACTCAAATCTTTTTAGTTTACTTTAACATAGTCCTAATCCTTCTGCTTGTCTCTTAACGGATCATGTGGCATATCAGAAGATTAATTCTTTAGAATCAAAAAAAAAAATAATGTAAGGAGTGATGGGGATATTTATATATGCAAATACTATTGATTGAACACTGAGTTAGCCCAAGGTGACTCATTCATATGTGTGCACATAAACCGCAATGCGTTTTTTTTAATCAAATGTAAAATTCGGAATAATTCATGAACATACAGTTATTCCCCCAATTGTTATAAATGTCTTTCTATCTAGCTATCATACTATTTGGCTATAATCTGGCTTTCCATTTATTTGGTTATCTATCTATCTGGATATCTATATCATTAATAGTGATGTCGCGAACCGTTCGCGAACTTGCCGCGAACGGTTCGCCACGAGATTGGCAGGGATGTGTCAGCTGACCGGAGTTCGCCGCGAACGGTTCATGGCGAACTGTGGCGAACCGTTTGCGGCAAGTTCGCGAACGGTTCGCGACATCACTAATCATTAAGTGAATATCATTTTAGATTAAACCTTCATGCACACATGCAGGCTGTGGTTATATGTAGGAAAAAAAGCTGATCTGACACTTTCCTTATCTTTGCCCTTTGTACAGTTTTTTTCATTTTGTCAGTAGTTGGAATTTTAATGACTCACAACCCATATTTTATTAACCATGTGTGGGTGATTCAGTAAATGTATGCTGGATTCTCTAATCTATATCACCTACACTGCCGCAGTAATGTTTCTTTTCCATGAACTACTGCCTTGTAATACAGAGTTCTTGAAACCAGTGTTTTAATGATCCTCCACAAGAAAAACAAAAAGTGTGGTACAAAGCTAGAAAAAAGATGAAAGAAAGTCAACCATTTGGGAGGGTTTGAGAGCAAGGAATGAAAAGCTATGAAAAACGGTCTGCAGAACAAAAATGTACAGGAGAAGTGAGTGATGTAGGATGGGGAAGTGGTTTAATATCTAAAATATTGATGACCAACATGGGCCTTATTGAATAGAGTCCAAACGTCTGAACCTGTTCGTTCAACAATGTATCTTTCTGGAGACTTTAATGAGCCCGCATTCTGTCCTGGCCTGACATAGTATCCTACTTTTTCAATATTATCTCCCAACCTCTCATTATTTCATTATTCTACTGCTATTGGCCAAATATTTTCCTGTCAGTAAACACAAGCCTTTGTCCCTCAAAGTACCCCAACAGTTTTCTTCTCAAAACTGTCAGTTTGTATGAGCTTATAAATGCTATTAAAATAAATGAGCACACTTAATATCACAATGGAGATTCCAGAACTTTCTGAAGTCTCAAGTATTCTAAACTTTTAAAGCTTCTAACAATAATACATGTGTGTTTCTATGTGGAGTACATATACATAAATAGTGCCTTGAATGCTAAATCTTTGACCCCTTTTTATACTCTGACTGCTGTTCGCATTTGAATAATAGAGAGCAAATGCGAGTGCCACCCACTCCACCGCCGCCATTTTTATAATCATATTTTGCTGCTTAACTGTGTAACACCTTCCATATAGGAATGCCTTTCTCTGTGGGTATGGTCAATTGCAGAAAGAGAGAGCGCTCACTAGTGGACAGACTCTACAAGTAAAGAGTCGCACAAGCCAGGGACTGGGCAAAGGTCAGATCCAAGTGCAGGTGAACTGCAACAAAAGCTAAATTTCAACTCTACAAAGGTTTTTAGTAAACCTCAACCTTTTATAGGTCTGAAACATTACTCTTCATTGCAATAAACCTTTCTTGGACCAAACGCGTATCCAATCCTTTTATTTGTACATAGCAGGTGCCATTATTAAATCACACATATTGGTGGAATTGTATTGATTAAATATTAATATATAAAAAATATATATTTAAACTGGTAATTGTGGAGAATGGGAAATTTTAGCTCAAAATTGTCCGTTTTTTCTGACTCAAATGCAAAATCTGGTTTAGTGGATTAGCCTTGTGGTATGAAAAAGCCATCTCACAAGTGACTTGCTAACTAAATACAAAAGGTATTGGAATAGAAAACGTATACTACTCTGCAGCACCACCTGCAGGCAAACTGTATATTTGAACATATGTAATGTTTTCTATAAACCGTCCCATCAATTCACCTGCTTTGTTTTGAGTTATCAACATTTCGAGCTTCGTGCAAAAATGTATTGGTTTAAATAAAATATTGTATTGCTTGAAAACGAGATAAATCTCAATGTATCCATCCTGGTAAAATATTTTATAAACAAAATTATGTTTTTATAGGAAAAGGGATCCTGCTAAGTATATTCCACAAACCTCAATGCTTAATAGCACATGATTCTCAGACTGAATAACATAGTTTAACTTTAATTTATCGGTATTAAGTTGTTTGTTTGTTTTTTGTTTTTGTTTTTTTTTTTACCGTTGCATTTCACCGTGAAGGGCTGTGTATGGGACGAGCCACAGAAAATAATCTGAAATTTTGTTTAGACATGTTAAACAATTCACACACACACACACATATATATTACATTGATATAAATATACATTATTATGATTAGCAGCAGCAGTATTTTGCTGTTCAAAACATGGTTAGTGTTGCTGGCAGATCTGCTTTGAGTAATTTGTTTGAGATAAATTTTTTGTCATTTGGAAGCTTGTGTGTAAGGCAGCCATTTGTGGATAATGAACTTCAATGCACATCATGCTGATAAATCCAACATGCTGATTAAACGTGAGTTTTAGTTACAGGACATGAAAGAGTCTTATGGGACACTCTAAGCACCAAAACCACTTCATCTTAATGTTGTGGTTTCCTGTGACTATTAGCCAGTTAGCTGGCTGCTAGTACTGGGAGTGGGAGTGGGAGTGATCTAGAGCAACTAATGTACCCCAGATTATGTCTGGAACTCTTTCTTGTCTTCTATACAGCTCCAATAATCTCTCGGGCTGTCTGCATATTGACATTTTTAACATTTCTCAAATCTTTTTTTTTTTTTTTTCTAACACAATGTAAAGATTTTTTTTTTCATTATTATTATTTTATTCATTTGTTATTCATGCATCCTGATCAAAGCGCTTCTCTTCTTAATTGCACACAGCTGTAAATGTGGGAATGATCCCAGTTCTTCCAATAAACAGGACTTCACAAGTCAGTATTTTGTCTCCGTCTAACCAGATGTTAAACAAACCAAACCTAATGGGTCTTAAATGTGGATGTTGTTTAGGTTCATCATAACCCCGATTATTGCAGTTTGTTCTGCTCGGTGTCTGCTGATGAAATTGCTTTCATATTCCATTTGTGGGACCAGGCAATCCATACCATATAATTATAGATTTCTCTTACGCTGGGCGGAATAAAAGCAACGTTTTTGTTGTTGTGGTTTTTTTTAAGGAGAGAGAATGTAAAGCTTTCAGTTGACTGGGAACAGTGTGTTTTTGTGGTTACCCATAGGTGTACACAAGCTATTCGAGCGGCAAGGCTGCTGAAATCCAAGTTCAAAAGGGTATCGGGTCACTGAAATTCTGTATCTGCTCATTTTAAATTGGTTTCATCAAAGAGCAGACATAGTGTTTATTTATTTTGTTGTTGTTTTTCTTCTGTGCTGGCATTACTGTATGTAAATATATTTGTAACTAAATAAGCACACACCTTGTTAAGATAGGTAGGCTCATTTCTACCTGCAGCAAGTAATGTCCATATTAAAGATATCTGAGGGCCTGGTTAGCATTGTTCAAACCACCTCATACTTTGATAACCTAGTACTGGATGATGGTAGTTATGGTGTTTTGGTGCTTCTTGTATGTCCGTATAAGGTTCTAATATAAAACCAGCAATTTGCTCAACCATATATTTAGACACACTTACTAATTGGAGCCCCTTTGTAGTTACATTTGTACAGACTGTGGCATTTCTGTTAGATAATTTAGGAATACAAAGTATGCAATTTAACAGATCTTATCCTATATGGAATTATATATTTAGTTCCTGAAAAAAAATGTTTATGGTACTTGTCGATACTTTAAGTATTTGTAGCGGTACTTACCCTTTCCAGGGGCCGGCCGGGGTCCTCTGTTCGAGCCGCGCGCGGTCCTGCTGCTGCACGAGCCGCGCGCGGCTCAGCCGACCGCTGTGACTAGTAGCGGTCACATGTTCCACCTACTCTAAGAGCGCGCCGCGGGTATCGGGCGCGCTCTTAAAGGGACAGTGGGTGCCTAAATTGGAAAAGGCATCCCATTGGTCCCTGTCATGCCACACTCCCCATACACTTACCTTTTGGGGGCGTGGATGTGACAGGGACCAATCAAATTAGATGTTTAGGTATTTATACTCACCTTCTTTCCTTTGTTCCTTGCCCTATCGTGGTTTCTGTATCAGTTCCCTTTAGCGCTTGTTGTGTTCAGTTGTGTTTCTCCGTATTGACCTTGGCTTTGTTTCTGACTACGTTTTCTCTTTATCCTTATCTGTTCTGGTTGTCGGCTTGTTGTTTACTGTGTACCAGACCCCGGCTTGTCCTAGTTTACGCTGTCTCTCTGTGCCCTTGATTTCGGATCGTTCCTGACTCTGTCTCCTCTCATATACGTCGAGTCCGGCCATTCTAAGGTCCGGTAGACGTATCTCTCCTCTGTGTTGTCTTTTGTTTAGCTGAATCCTGCGTGTTGGGGTATATTCTCGTTACATTACGATAGGGCCATGGACCCCGCAGATTTGGCTCAGCAAATGGCTTCTCACGAGGCAAGGTTTGTAGAGCAGGATCACCGTATGGATCAGATAGCACAGGCTCTCCAGACGCTCTTGTCTAGAACCATTCCTGCAACCGCACCTAACCCTCCTACACCTCATCCTCCCGAAGTATCCAATTCAACCAATGCTTCGCCCCATTTAACACCTCCTCCTAGGTATGGAGGGGAAGCCAAGACATGCAGAGGTTTTATTAATCAAATAGAATTCCACCTTGAGATGTATCCTCATTCCTTTCCCACTGATAGGTCTAAAGTGGGGTTTTTGATGCATCAACTTACTGACAAAGCACTAGAGTGGGCAAATCCTATTTGGGAGGCCAATGGACCTATGGTTCATGATTTCAATAGTTTTCTTGCGGCTTTTCGTAGAACTTTTGACACAACAAAGAGGTCAAAGAATGCCGCAAGAGCATTAATGAGGATTAAACAGGGGTCTAGGTCTGTGGCGGATTATGCTATTCAGTTTCGTACCCTTGCCTCACAGGTAGATTGGACCAATAATGGGTTAACTACTGCGTTCATGGAAGGTTTATCTGACACTATATTAGATGAGGTAGCGGCAAGAGAGCTTCCTATCCCATTAGAGGATCTTATTGACTACCTCATTGATATAGATAATAGAATTCGCGACAGGCTCTATACCAAAAACAAGAATAGACGTCTGGTCACATCTATTAACCCTAGAGTTGATAAACCTGAGAGTGTTAAAGTACCCGAGGAGGAACCCATGCAATTAGGGGTTGCCAAACTCTCGGATACTGAAAAACTACTTAGAAGAAGGAATGGACTCTGCCTATACTGTGGTAGGCGAGACCATATGGTAAGGGAATGTCCTTTGCGTCCGGAAAACTCTCGCACCTAAGACCTTATAGGGGACTGGCCTTGGGTGTGATCTCTAAGTCTCCTAAATTGCCTCCTAATCGTTTGCTTCTCCCTGTTTCCCTTCATATGGGGGTGAGTTGTATAGCAGAATGCATATTAGCCTTGGTTGATTCTGGGGCTGCTGAGAACTTTATTGACTCTGAGTTTGTTACGAAAAATAACATTCCCGTCAGAGAAAGGGAGATACCCTTGGCCATTGAGGCCATAGATGGTAGACCATTAAGTTCTCCAATTGTTACTCATGAAACTGTACCATTACACATGTATACAGGGGTTTTACACTTTGAAACCATTCGATTCCAGGTTATCACATCTCCCTCTTCTCACATTGTGTTAGGGTACCCATGGTTACGTACTCACAATCCCATTTTCGATTGGGAGTCAGGGCAAATAAAATCATGGAGCGATGCCTGCCATGAGTCCTGTACTATTGAAGTCACCCCTTTGAATTCCATTAATGTCCCTGCAACTCCTCCTTTGTCCACTGTTATACCCTCTCAGTACTTATTTCTCAAAACTGTCTTCGATAAAAGGGAGGCTGACAAATTACCACCTCACAGACCCTACGATTGTGCTATCTATTTATTGCCTGGCACAATACCTCCAAAGGGCAGGGTGTACCCTTTATCTGTTCAAGAAAACCGTGTCATGGAGGAATATATTAAGGAATCATTAGAAAAGGGGTTTATTAGGAGATCCTCTTCTCCGGCTGGAGCGGGGTTCTTCTTTGTATCAAAGAAAGAAGGTGATTTAAGACCGTGTATCGATTATAGAGGTCTAAATAAAATCACCATCAAGAATGCATATCCTATACCTTTAATCACGGAATTATTTGACAGACTCAAACATGCTACTGTATTCACTAAATTGGATCTTAGAGGTGCATACAATTTAATACGTATTAAGAAAGACCACGAATGGAAAACGGCATTCAACACTAGATCTGGCCATTACGAGTATACTGTTATGCCATTTGGTCTATGCAATGCCCCAGCAGTATTTCAAGAATTTATCAATGACGTTTTAAGAGACTTTATTCACACATTTGTAATTGTGTACTTAGACGACATATTAATATACTCTACAGATTTACACACTCATCACAGGCATGTTACGACAGTTCTGAAGACCCTTCTTGCTAATGGTCTTTATTGTAAACTGGAAAAATGTCTATTTGACCAATCCGAAGTCCAGTTTTTGGGGTATTTAATTTCCGCTAAAGGTTTTCGTATGGATCCCCAGAAGCTTTCTGCTGTCATGGAATGGCCTCTTCCACAAGGTTTGAAAGCCATTCAGCGTTTTCTTGGTTTCTCTAATTATTATAGACGCTTTATTAAAGGTTTTTCCTCTATTGTAGCGCCTATCACCCGTATGACAAGAAAGGGAGGCAATACTCGTGTCTGGTCTCCCGAGGCACTTCAGGCTTTTGAGTTTCTTAAAACCACATTCGCTTCTGCACCTATTTTACAGCACCCTATCCCCACACTGCCCTATATTCTTGAAGTTGATGCTTCTGATATCGGGGTAGGTGCTGTCTTATCCCAAAGAGAGTCGCCTGAAAAGCCATTGCATCCTTGTGGCTTCTTCTCCAAACAAATGTCCAAAGCAGAAAAGAATTATGATGTGGGTAATCGTGAACTCCTTGCTATTATTTTAGCACTGAAAGAATGGAGACATTTGTTAGAAGGAACTAAAGATCCTATTCTCATATTTACGGATCATAAGAACCTATCCTACCTTAGTGAGGCTAAAAGACTGTCTTCTCGGCAGGCTAGGTGGTCACTATTTTTGTCCCATTTCAATTACATTATCACCTATAGGCCAGGTGACCGCAACACTAAAGCAGACGCTCTGTCCAGACAGTTCGAAACTGCTGACAAACAGGAGATTGATGTTACTCCTGTGATTCCCCCAGAAAGGATAATCGCTACCACTGTTTTGTCTATTTCTTCGTCCCTCTTGCAGGCCATACAAGCGAAACAAAACATGGCACCTAGCGAGAGACCTACTGATAAACTGTTCGTTGATGTTCCCGAGAGACGGGAGATTCTGTCGTTGTATCATGACACTAAGACTGCTGGACATCCTGGTATTTCCAAAACGGTGTCAGCGGTTTCTCGGTATTTTTGGTGGGATTCCTTACGCAAGGATGTCACTGACTATATAGGTGCTTGTACTACTTGTGCCTGTATGAAATCTTCTCGTAGGGTTCCTTGTGGGCTGTTGCATCCGTTACCTATTCCCGAGAGACCTTGGTCTAACCTGTCCATGGATTTTATTGTTGAATTACCTCCCTCGAATGGTAACACAGTTATCCTAATGATAGTGGATCGGTTTTCCAAGATGGCTCACTTTGTGTCTCTTCACAAGCTGCCCACGTCCAGGGAACTAGCACTTGTTTTCGCCAGAGAGGTGTTTCGATTACACGGCATTCCCGTATCTATTGTATCTGATAGGGGTAGCCAATTTATTTCCAGGTTCTGGAAAGCCTTTTGTTCGGAAATGGGTATTTCTCTCTCATTTTCTTCCGCTTACCACCCCCAGTCTAATGGAGCTGCCGAACGTGCCAATCAATCTCTGGAGCAGTACCTTCGTTGTTTCGTATCCCACCATCAGAACAATTGGTCTGACCTTCTTCCTTGGGCTGAGTTTGCTCGGAATAACGCTACTCATGATTCTTCCGGCAAGAGTCCTTTTTACGTTGTATATGGCCAACATCCTGTTGTTCTTCCGGCTGCTTTCTCCTCACAGGGCATGCCAGTTCTGGATGAACATTTGGCTAATTTGCGTAATACTTGGGAGCAGGTTCAGCGTTCTTTGGTGGATTCCGCTGCTCGCCAGAAGGTGCAGGCTGACAAGCATCGCAGGGCGGCTCCTTCTTATGTTGTGGGGGACAGGGTTCTGCTTTCTACGCGAAACATTCGCCTCCGGGTGCCTTCTATGAAATTGGCTCCCCGCTTTATTGGTCCTTATCGTATTCTGCATAAGGTTAATCCTGTTTCGTATGCCTTGGGTCTCCCTAAGAATCTGCGTATTCCTAATGTCTTTCACACCTCGTTGTTGAAGCCTTTCGTACGCAACCGCTACACCCGACATGCACCTCCTCCCCTCCTGTTTCTGTGGAGGGTCATGAGGAATTTGAAGTTTCTGCAGTTCTTGACTCTCGTTTCCTTAGGGGCCGACTTCAGTACCTAGTGCATTGGAAGGGCTATGGGCCTGAGGAGCATAGTTGGATTTCCGCTGACGCGGTTCACGCTCCTCGTCTTGTGCGCTCTTTCCATTCTCGTTTTCCTGCCAGGCCTGGCCCTCCCCGCCCGGAGGGCGTGTCCTCAGGGGGGGGTAATGTAGCGGTACTTACCCTTTCCAGGGGCCGGCCGGGGTCCTCTGTTCGAGCCGCGCGCGGTCCTGCTGCTGCACAGCCGCGCGCGGCTCAGCCGACCGCTGTGACTAGTAGCGGTCACATGTTCCACCTACTCTAAGAGCGCGCCGCGGGTATCGGGCGCGCTCTTAAAGGGACAGTGGGTGCCTAAATTGGAAAAGGCATCCCATTGGTCCCTGTCATGCCACACTCCCCATACACTTACCTTTTGGGGGCGTGGATGTGACAGGGACCAATCAAATTAGATGTTTAGGTATTTATACTCACCTTCTTTCCTTTGTTCCTTGCCCTATCGTGGTTTCTGTATCAGTTCCCTTTAGCGCTTGTTGTGTTCAGTTGTGTTTCTCCGTATTGACCTTGGCTTTGTTTCTGACTACGTTTTCTCTTTATCCTTATCTGTTCTGGTTGTCGGCTTGTTGTTTACTGTGTACCAGACCCCGGCTTGTCCTAGTTTACGCTGTCTCTCTGTGCCCTTGATTTCGGATTGTTCCTGACTCTGTCTCCTCTCATATACGTCGAGTCCGGCCATTCTAAGGTCCGGTAGACGTATCTCTCCTCTGTGTTGTCTTTTGTTTAGCTAAATCCTGCGTGTTGGGGTATATTCTCGTTACAGTATTTGAGTATTGTTTATTTGTTTTTCTCTTAATGGGTTTAAATCTGAATGCTTTTTTACTGCGTTCATTAAGTGTTTTGTGGCTTTTAGCAGCAGTTTAGTTGTTCCGGTGTTGTATTGACCATGTGGATGTATGTGTTGTGAATGCAAGCAACATAAATAAAAGTAAATAGAGCAAAGAGCAAAAAAAGTTAATAAAAAAAACTTTGATCCATTAAATTAATAAATATAAAGGCAAGAAGCTAAACGCTCTGCCTCCCCAGGATCAGAGGAGGCCTGGCACTGCCGGACTTCAAAAAGTACAACCAAGCTACCACCATGCAACGTATCCTGGAGTGGCACACAGCCGCGGACCCGAAACAATGGGTAACCCTGGACAGAGGAGACTCGGGGACCAAACTTAAAGCCGACGTGTGGAGGGAGGGGTCGGGTCGGTGTGGAACAGAGGAGGACGGCAATCCGGTGGCACAGACACTGAAGATCTGGAAATCGGCTAGAAGACTGGAACAGGTCTCCCCGACCCCCAGTCCTATGATCCCAATCACCCACAACCCCAATATCGGGGGAGGACTCCCCTATAGGACCTGGGCCTTTCTGGGGGAAAGGGAATATATCCCAATGTGCACGATCCTGGAAGGAGGTCAGATACGGTCCCTCAACTCACTACTAGCTGGCAGACCACAGACCCCCCTCCTGACCCTCTATTATCTACAACTAGCACACTATTACGAATCCTTACCCCACAAGGACCTCCAACACAGAGACCTTACGTGGTTCGAAAGCATATGCCGCAGAGGTTCCAAACTCGAGAACGCGGTATCTACGCTCTACCAACACCTGCTGATAGGGGCCTCTTTGGATAATAATACATTTCAAAGACGATGGGAAACACAACTAGACATATCTATTACGCCAACGCAATGGGGGACAGCGCTCCTATGGCAGCACAAAAGCTCCTCTAGCTCCTATTATCAGGAGGTCAATTATAGGACCCCGGTTGCCCTACAGAAGATTTACCCAGAGGCGTCCCCACTCTGCTGGAGATGTCAAGATGCGAGAGGTACCATAGTACACTTATGGTGGGAATGCCATGCCATCGCACAATACTGGGATCATATCCACTCCAAAATAAAGGAGATCCTGGTGGATGACACAGAATGGTCCCGAGAATTGGCCCTACTACATATTACTTCACAACCTATTCCCAGATATAAGAGATCAATTCTACGCCATCTTTTGAATGCTGCCAAATCCCTAATTCCAGTATACTGGAAGACCGCAGCCGTTCCCACGACAGAGGAATGGCTCCATAGGGTCAAAGACATACAGGCGGCGGAGGCAGTGCGGGTATCCCTGGTGGGGCGTTCGACAAGGCACACGTAGACGTGGCAACCCTGGTTCTCGTATCGGGCAGATAGATAGAGGGCCCATGCGGGGCGCATCGGGAACGGGGGGGCGGGACGGACAGACCAGGATCCGTCACTTTTATTGGCCGTGCTTACCCCCCTATATAGGATACTCCATCTCGGGAGGAATTATGGCCCGTGGTAACATATGATCCCTTACCGACCCGAACTTATGCTCGCACACACTGGACAACCGACAACGTGGCATCACAAAACCCCTCCCGACACACACACGCCCAATCAACGCACACGATAGACTAAACTACAGTCTACAGGACACATCATACGGATGTGCAAATCGGAAGATGGAGCCCAAAGGGAAGGACCCAACACACACTATTGGGCCGGACCCCAGACGATCCCACTGGGACAATAACACAGCTTAGGTTCACACTGCATGACCAACGTGCTACCGTAAGCCGCTACGACAGGACCTGACGAAATCTCGACCATCACACGCACGCTCACGGCCCGTTTCAGTTGGGCAGGAGAGTGCGGACACCAGGGAAGGCTCTCTTCATACTTACACGTCATTCCTTAACTTTCTTCTTCTCACCCTACAACACACTATCTTCCTTGTTACTCTCATACGTCTCTCAGGGATATAAGTCACTAACCTGACGACTGAAAGCAATATCTGTCTGACTATATCTAGGGGGTCGAACACCAAATGTGGAACATGCACCACGCAAACACACTAGATAATGTCTTGCAAACAAATACTGAGAATGCTCTTTTGTGCTGTATTTGTGCAAATAACATGTACGCTAACTATGCCTTAAACTGATATCGTGGTGTAATAGCCTTGAAGTTATATGAACCTTCCAATGTAATGTTCTGAAGAATAACATATGTTGTAACATGTAATACTGCTTTTCGTTGAGGCCTGCGAGCCTCATTATTTGACCTCTTCTCCCTCAATAAAACCAGATTTGCAAAAAAAAAAATATAAAGGCAAGAAGCTACCATTTTTCAGATTATGTACTCTTGTGTTTACGTAAATGTATTTAAAAGACAAAACACACCAAAACAAACAGACTTGTTTGTTTTGTTTTGTTTTTGGTTTTTTTAAGGATTGTCAGGAATTTAAGGTTAAAGTCAAAGTCGCCAAACTGGAACTGTAGCTGACTCAGATAATCTCTCCAATTATGGCTCCAATTGGCCTTACACCATGACGATCACACTATCAACTAGTAAAGTATTGTACAATTCCCCTTCCCAAAAATGTAGTCAAATCTGTAGTGGCAGAGCCATAATCCTCTTTGTGTGTTCTTCCCGTGTCCAGCCATATCTCCTGCATGAGCAAAAAGGACCGTGCAGAATCTGCATTCCATATTGTAACTTGTCTGGTTTCGTTTGCAGTATTTTTATATTCAATGATGATTTTTTTTTTTTTTTACTTGTAGATATGCAGAACCTGGAGAAGTTATTGAAGGATGCAGTGGTAAATGGCCAACCTCGCACTCACAGAGCCTGGAGAAAAATTCTTATACTTGTTGAGGGAATTTACAGGTAAATGGCACATGTTTAATCTTATGAGAAATAAGGGACCAAATGAAAAGGAACTGTTGCTTTTCTGTTAGTACTCACTTCTTTTTAACTTGCCCCAGCAAAAGATTTTTAAGCGTTTGTTTAGCAAAGACAAGAATAGAACAACATATGTCATGCGCCCACCTGGGTCATAGGTGCCGCCATACTTCCAATATCGCCTCCACATCCATGTATGCACATCATGAATTGTTACATCATTTTTCAGGTGTCGGGACCATGTGTCAAATTTGGAATTTGCATAATGTGTCCGGTTGTGCCAGTGCATACGTTTAAAGCAGATTAAGTTGTTATCTTGTAAAGATGCCTTCTGTCACAATTATTCTAGTTTGTCTTTCATACGAGATATTATGAAATATTACTGTAGAATAGTGGTATAGCAAATCAAAAACTGCAAATACTACAAGTGCGTTTACCTTTTAACCAGTTATGGTCGACATGTCGCTGTTGTGCATTTAATGCCCACATAAAAGGATTGCAGTTAACTGAAGGAGGAATTCTTGACTATTTTTCTTGTTGGTAGCATAAAGGTGACCTAAACAGTAGACATTTCACCTACATTTCAGTAAGGCTTTTGACACTGTTCCACATAGAAGACTTCTCAGTAAACTGCAACCTTTGAGTTTGGATTCCAATATTGTTGAATGCGTTGGGCTATGGCTTTTCCTTCGGTCACCGGCATTTGATGGCAGAGTAGGCACCTGTCATCAAGGTAAGAAGGTGTCTGCTCTGCCATACTGTGACAGGGTTCCTCTGGGCGTCCCCACCTTCGGGCGCCTGGAGGAGCGGCCCGACGCTGAGGGGGGGCGGCTCTAGAGCCGCTCATCCAGCGCTGCGGCCCAAGACAGGGGGAGCCCACTAGGAAATACCCCGGTGCGCCCCCAGCAGGCCGACGCCCTAGGCAAATGCCTAGTTCGTCTGACGGTGGTGCCGGCCCTGTATGGAACCACCATAAATGACCCTCTGAATAATTCTGCATCACGGCTCATCTTCCTAAAATAATCTTCCTTTTCCACTCTGTTCTTCACTGGCATCATCAAGATTAAAATACATATGTTAATCCTTTTGCATTTCTACACCTATTATTAAAGATTCTCATCAAAACGCTGGGGTACCCAAACACATGAACACAACTTTCTCCCCATTTATAACCATTCTTTTTAACACTCTCTTAAAACCTCTTTAATCAAACTCAAAAGTCATTTTACTGACACCGCTCTTACATATTCAATATATGTACAATCTAGCAAACTATATATTTTTTGTCAGTGCTGTTTCTGGTACAGTTTTGATTGGACTTCTAACGAGACTTGCTCATAATGCATTTGACATGGTACACAGAGTTTTAGCAACTCCAAGAATCTGGAAATGCTACCTTAATTTGCATCTGCCTTACTAAATAATATAAATATATATTTATCTAAAATTCTATTTTAGTTGTTACTTGGTAATAAAAACTTTCTTTCTCCTGAAGCCTGTGACTGGGAAAATATTGATGTACTAATTCAATTTACTTAATATGTAACCTGATCCCTGATTAAGCAGAGGGCACAGGAAAGAGCTTGGTTTGATTAATAAACAAATGTCATTGACGTGAGCCGTAACAGATTTTCTCAGGAGTTATCCTGCACATCTTGAATCAATACAAATCCAGTTTCACCTAGGCAAACACACGTTTCAGGCACACTCTATCTCCCTGTTGGGTCCCACTGACATTTTACATACATTTAGTTTTTTGTTTTTTACGTCCATGGTATCCAGTCTTCTAATGTGTGTATTATCTGCGGCAGACAAAAAGCACGACTGGTCTTTATCTAAACACCTGCCACTCATTGCTAGAGGAACAGTACCCAAGAGCTGCTGGTTCTGAGCAGTCTCTGCATTACTTCTTTCTCTGTAATCAGATTAAACACTAACTAAACATTTCATTTTCAACAACAGAGAGAAATGAAATGTTTCCAATGTCTTTGATCACAAGAAAGATGGAGGACCACCAACAAGTTAATGTGCAATATCCATGTCTGTTGTGTGGGACACAGATTACAGGGCGGCTGGTGGTTTTCTTAGTTCTTCTGATCACTGTGTAACGTAGATGTCCCATCTCCTATCCAACGTTAACCGTTTCTGTGTGTTCTGTAATTATCATTCTGTTTACATAGTGGAACGGTGAGAGGTGGTTGGGGTGACTTTCCTCACCTAGTGTAGTATTAAACGCCGTGCTGCTTTCGGTCCAATTCTAAAGAAAAGTAATGTAGATGTTAACATAACTTTAACAATCATTAAAAAAGGGCTTTTAACAAGGGCACTGTTATGGATAAAATGGGATGTCATGTTAAAGGGACTTGATGTGGGTATGTTTTTAGGGATTTAGGGGGTATCTGTCTGAAAGGTGCTGTGTACCTTAACTCTGTCATGATTCTCAGACATGCAAAACATCAAGTCCCACCTTAATCCTAAACATACCTGATCTCAAATCTGTAAACCCACAACACACAGAGTGTGACATAATTCTGTGTGGATAGAAAAAAGGACCACTATAGCCCCCACCCTCAGGGTCCCCCTCCCGCCCGGCTCTGGGGAGAGGAAAGGGTTAAAACGTACCTTTTTTTCCAGCGCCGAGCGGGGAGCTCGCCACCTCTTCTCCTCCCCTTCGGCTGAATGCGCACGAGCCGTGCGCGCATTCAGCCAGTCTCATAGGAAAGCATTTACAATGCTTTCCTATGGACGCTTGCGTGTTATCACTGTGGTTTTCACAGTGAGAATCACGTAAGCGCCTCTAGCGGCTGTCAATGGGACAGGCACTAGAGGCTTTGGAGGATGGATTAACCCTATTATAAACATAGCAGTTTCCATGAAACTGCTATGTTTATAAAAAAAAGGGGTTAACCCTAGATGGACCTGGCACCCAGACCACTTCATTAAGCTCAAATGGTCTGGGTGCCTAGAATGGTCCTTTAATAATTTATGCCGAGATGAAAGGATTTATTACACATTAGCTGCAGTTAGTATGCTGTGTTAGTTATTTGTTAGGAGTGGTTTTGTTTTTGTTTTTGTTTAGGAATTATTTTTCTAAACAAGACCACTCATTCTATCCCTCCCTTCCAAACTTCCAAACTGCAATGCTTCTCTTTTGTTCAGATAATTTATACGTATACTCAAGAGTCAGTGGAAGCTGGTGACGTTTTAAGGTCTTCAATCTCTGACTTGTTGGGCTCTGCCTATAAACCCCATGAGATGTCATGCTTTGGTTAAAATCAGCTCAATCTGTAGTCAACAACAAAGGGGAGAATGAAAACTGCAGATATAATCATGGCAGACTCCTATTTTTGAGAACACACTTATCTGTAATCTATGCCAATAGATTTATTTATTTTTTGTTTGTTCCCAACAAAAACTGTGGACCAGACTTCACTGCCAGGGGTGTTTCTAAGTGGCAAAAATACCAGGGGCTTTAGCCTGAAGGCAACTTATATGCCCCATCCCACAGATTTTGAATTCCTGTCCAACCCCAAACCCCAACATGTTAAACGAAACGCATTTTGTCTTTAATAATAACTCAGTGAAGCTGCAAAAATGTAAAGGCAATCGGCCATAAGTAGCATGGCCTCCAAGTTCCTTTATAAACCCAGCAGCAATAATAAATAATAAAATAAAACACTAATGCATCATACAGCTTTCTCCTTGTCTGGAAAAAAAAAAATTGGCATGCAAATAAAATTAAAAATAAATACATACAAAATCATTTCCACCTTCCTTATTCTATGGTATGGCTCTAGGCAATGTCTAACACAGTATTAGTAAAATTAGTCTTTAGCATATCGAAGTGCAATTTAATGTCAAAACCAGGGCTGTCTTTATCCTGTAATTTCGGTTAATCCAGGGTAATTTGAGTTAATACCCTTTAAAAATAACTATGATATGATTAGTATTAATGTTGACATTTTAGAACATTGATACTCACAACTACTCAATCCCTACCATCAAAATTTTCATTCTTTTTTGTTTGTTTTATAAAAAACATTTAAAAATAAATCAAGTGGGGAAAAAAAGTGGTATAAATTAATATTGGCACTCTTTCTGACTAAACAAATTTAATAGGAAATGTGGTAAATGAGATAAATATGGCGATACCAAACAATTGGTGAATGTTTGTTATTTAAAAGTTACCTTTCCCTCTTTTGTCTTCTCATTGTAAAGATGTAATGTTTTATGTGTGACGGCAGTTAAGATCCATTCTGCCCATCTAGTCTGCCAAATTTTCTAAATACTTTAATTAGTTCCTGGCCTTATCGTATAGTTAGGATAGCCCTATGCCTATCCCACGCATACTTAGACTCCACTGTGTTAACCTCTACCACTTCAGCTGGAAGGCTATTCCATGCATCCACTACCCTCTCAGTAAAGTAATACTTCCTGATATTATTTTTAAACCTTTGTGCCTCTAATTTAAGACTATGTCCTCTTGTAGTGGTAGTTTTTCTTCTTTTAAATATAGTCTCCTCCTTTACTGTGTTGATTCCCTTTATATATTTAAATGTTTCTATCATATCCCCCCTGTCTCGTCTTTCCTCCAAGCTATACATGTTAAGATCCTTTAACCTTTCCTGGTAAGTTTTATCCCGCAATCCATGAACCCGTTTAGTAGCCCTTCTCTGAACTCTCTCTAAAGTATTCGTATATAAATTGGTTCTTGCTTTGGACATGTATGCATATGTGTTATTGTTTTTTTGTATGGTTTAAAAAAATAAAAAGTAAATGGGAAAGACGTTAAATTGATTATAAAATGTGTACATTTTGGCATAGTAGTAAGGGAAAAATGCCTTACTTAGTGCAATAAGATTTTAATTTTTTTTGCAAGTTGTGAGATTTGCAGTGTCAAAATAAATTGCGCTATAGACATACAGTACTATGTCTGTCCTGAATCCTGTATATTTACTGTATATAAGGATTCACATACAGTGCATCACACAATGTAGAATAACACAAGTAAAATTACCCCCTAATCTCTGCTCCGAGCATGGTTCAATTGCCAGCTGCCCTTCTGGTTCCATTCTGCGGCTCTCCCACAGAACTCTACCAATCATAGTTTGTTCTATTGCATTAATTATTCAACTGTTTTGATATTAAACTATATGTTAAAGGACCACTATAGTACCAGGAAAACAAACTTGTTTTCCTGGCTCTATATGGACTTTGGGTCCCCCCCACCCTCTGGGTCCCACTCTCGCCGGGCTGAAGGGGGAAGAAGGGGTTAAATTCTTACCTTTCTCCAGCGCCGGGCTCCCTTGGCGCTTGGGACACTCCTCCCTCTTCCGACATCATCCGCTGAATGCGCATGCTCGGCAAGAGCCGCGCGCACATTCAGTCAGTCCATAGGAAAGCATTTCTCAATGCTTTCCTATGGACGCTGGCGTCTTCTCACTGGGAAAATCACAGTGAGAAGCGCCTCTAGCAGCTGTTAATGAGACAGCCACTAGAGGCTGGATTAACCCTATTGTAAACATAGCAATTTATCTGAAACTGCTATGTTTACAGCACACAGGGTTAACCCTAGATGGACATGGCACCCAGACCACTTCATTAAGCTGAAGTGGTCTGGGTGCCTAGAGTGGTCCTTCAATATATTGTGTGTGTGTGTGTGTGTGTTTGTGTAATGTTTTGCTTTTCCTATTTTTTGGGGGGGGATCAGTCAAATGATAATAGCAGACTAAGTATAGCCAGTGGTGCCCTTGTAATTGTTGAAGAATGAAAAATTTTTCTATAATCACCATACTGCAAACATAAATAAATAGGTTAAAGCTTGACAAATTATTCCTGGAATTGTCTGCAAATGCAAGAATGTTCTTCCTACAATAATACATCTGATAGTCATAATGCCATTTTTATTTTGTGTGTTTATTCTAAATGAATACAGATAAATGAAATAGCATGTTGAAATGCCAAGATCTGAGTCAAGGCTGTCTGCAACAGGAAACAGGAGAATGTTCTCATTTTTTATTTTTTTTTAATATCAATATGTACCATTCAAAATCAACTATTAGCAAGATGGTATTATGGGAGACAAATTGAAAGAGCCTTGTAATATTTGCATATTCAGTTTTTGTTGTGTCTTATTTATTTATTTATTTTTGTCCTTCATTCACTGGGGCAGAATATAATGTGAATGATTAAGCACTTTGCTTTGATCTGCCAGTGCAGTAAGAATTTGAGTTTTAAACAGAACCAGACAACTTAGATCAAACCTTTTTAATTCAGACCACATTGAGGCTGTGTTTATGTAGGTGATAAATACTTTTGAAGACAAGTATTAGGGAGTGGGAATTATATTAAGATTTGTTGAACGTATTGTAGAGTCTACATTATATCTGTTATTTGTATTAATTGTATATTCTGTTTTTTTTTGGTTTTCAGCATGGAAGGGTCTATTGCCCGTCTTCCAGAAATTGTTGCCTTAAAGAAGAAGTATAAGGCTTATCTTTATTTGGATGAAGCTCACAGTATTGGCGCAGTGGGACCGACAGGTCGAGGAGTAATTGAATATTTCGGCATAGACCCCACTGACATAGACGTGCTCATGGGCACATTTACGAAATGCTTTGGTGCTGTCGGAGGATACATTGCTGGGACACGGGTAAAGTCATGTTCAAGAATAAATATTGGCTATTGGGGAAATGGAAGCTGATTCTTCTCGATATTAATGTGGGACGACCATCACTATATGCCTGAAACAGTAAGGCAACAAAAGAGGTGGCACGTTGACATTTTGGTCTCTGAATACACACATATGATCAAGCTTTTCTGATGGTGAAACTTTATAAATTGATTTAAAGGGACAATATAGTCCCCAAAACAACTTTGTGTTAATGAAGCAGTTTTGGTGTACAAATCATGCCCCATGCAGTCTCACTGGTCAAATCGCTGCTATTTAGGAGTTAAATCACTTTGTTTATGAACCCTAGTCACACCTCCCTGCATGTGACTTGCACAGCCTTCCATAAACACTTCCTGTAAAGGAACCCAGATATTCTAGGCTCCTTTATTGCATAGACTGTTTTGTTTTAATACCTAGGGTGTCCCTTTAACCCCTTAAGGACACAACTTTTGGAATAAAAGGGAATCCTGACGGAATACTTCCGTCATGTGTCCTTAAGGGGTTAATAAGACCTAGGAAACCAAGACAAGTTTAGTAATGTACCGTATTGAAAAGTTTATTTGAAGGGAGCAATTTCTGAAAACCACTCTCCAAAACGCTTACTTCAGTATTGCCTACATTAAATAGTGGGGAGTTGTGTTATTTATTTATTAATTTTTTTATCATGCCAACTAGGCTTTGCAGTAATACAGCTTTTGCTACAGGAAGCTCTGCTTTTTTTAGAGAGAGACCATAAAGGGAGCTGGAATAAAGGAATAAAATAATATGAATGATAACTTTTGAAGCCAAAGTATCAGTTGGCGTCAGAGCATTGCCACAGGTTAACACATGCAATGGGTGCACTGGGTTGGTAAGGAAGAGGCATGATTTCCCTCCCCAGGCCATGAAGGGGTACAGGATCCTCTGTATAGACTGGTTGGCTGGAGCGCCTGTGCTGCCTTAATGTAACACTGCCCTGTTGGTGTCACACCTCAGATGGTGTTACCCATGCATTCCGCTCCCTCAGAGTAACGACAGTGGCGTTATATAGAATTGTAAATTAATATAAACCATGAAAATCTTTCATTTGTCTCTCCGCTCTTTCCATTTACAGGAACTCGTGGCCACTTTAAAATCACATTCACACAGCTCTATGTATGCAGCGTCCATGTCTCCACCTGTGACCGAGCACATCATAAAAGTGATGAAATGTATTATGGGATGTGACGGGACACTTATTGGTAAGATTATTTTAAAATATAGGAGTTTTTATTTATTTATTTTTCTTCCTCAATGTCTGTGTTTGGGGTTAACGTGATTTATTTTTTTATTTTTAAACTTAAGATCTGTAGATTGCTAAATGCCAATACTTGCATGCTGACTCCTTTAAGTGTCCCAGGAAGAAGGCCCTGTGGGCATATTTGACATTGCATATAGTGGTTAATTCTTGGATAATTGATTGCTCAGATAATAAAAACATGACCGGTATGACATATTATAGTTTATGTAATGCCTTGTGAAGTTGAAATATGTCATTAAGAAAAAGAACACACCGGTCTGTGCATCACAATATATATATTTTTTTATTTGAATCGCCAACATATACCACAGCGCTGAGCTCCAGGGTAATTAAGAAATGGGGGGGTTTGTGGATCTGTAGATGCCGTATGCTTCATCGCTGTTTGTTATTTTGGTTATATATTATATTACCAGTCTCTGCATAAGTGACCGTTGCTAAACTTGTAGGCACTGGTATGCATCTGCACTGATGAAAGCCTGTGATTGCAAACGTCTTTTATATTTTGGATCAATTTCCAAACGATGAAGGTATTAATTATGTGTGTTTATAAACTATATCCTAAACATGCACTGTAGATTATCTACGTATAATAAGGTAATTAAAGAAAAACAAACTATGCACAGCAACTCTGAAACAGGTTTCTACCATTCTCTGAGCCCCATACACATGCTCTTTTTGTATTAACAGGATTCTTTATGTATAGTTTTCAAATATACTCTCCAAGCACCGTAATCACTACATACAGTGGTTATGGTGCAAGATGTTCCCTGGCACACGCACCCTCTGTGCAAAGAGACAAATCATATTAAAATGGTATGACTTCTTGCCTGGAGTGTTCCGGTAACTACCCGCCACCTACACTGCCAACGCCAGAGAGACAGATACATAGATCAGCTGACATTCTCACATTGCAGGGCTTGGCCCTAGAGAGCTAGCCGGAGTTCCTAATTGGGAACCTCCAGATCTCTGGGGATGGCATCATGGCCGTGGAGGCTGGAAGTGGCACCCGGTGAATTCCAGGTAATAAATAAAATCTTTCAAAAAAGATTTGACTCCTTACAATGGTACAGGGCATTCTTGGCACCATAACCACTGCAGCGAGCTGAAGTAGTTATGGTGCTTGGAGTGTTCTTTTAATTCTATTGCAAGGGTTACAGAGTGAATTAAACAATCATCAGTTTTAGCCTATTGAGGGTTTTCAGTAAAGCAGTAGTTTTGGTTTACAGATGATTTTATTTCTTTTTTATTATTGTATTGCACTAAGCCTTACTATTAGTTGTTCGGAGACCACAAAGTATGCAAATAAGAAAAGTCTGAAAACATTGCTGGCTCTCGCATGTTATTTTAATATATATGATGTCATACACTAAATTATTTAGTATGGAAAGTTTTACACACAAAAAAGTGCGTGAAGGATCACGCGTCAGATTTTAACACATTTTAGCAGACAGTAGCAAGTGCTGCTGCTTTTTTGAATTAACCTATGTGTGTTTAAAAATAGTGTCATGCTCTGGACTTAACTATGGTCTTATTTTAAACAAAAATGCAAAACATCTGTTCCCTGCAGCCTCAGGCTGGTGCTGATTTGTTAGTGGTGACTGAAACTGGGCTTCTGATTTGGTTTAAGAAAACCAAAACCCAGCCATTTACTTCCGCATTGCTGTGGTGTAAATGCAGAGGTGTAGATACAATATAAGCTCCGCATGTGATATCACTGTTATTAAACAGGGTTGCAACATTCTAGAGCCCTCTGCAGCATAGTGCAGGGACTGACAACGGTTTGAAAAGTTAAGCTGCTAGTAAAACCTATGTAAGAAGCCAGGGAATCTCTTCTAGTTTATATTTTAATTTATAAAGTGTACATGGATTCAGCATCACTGTACAGTTTGGATGCAAAACTTATAGATTGTAGGTTCCATAGTAGTGTGCACCTTAATGTTTAGCACCTTTGGCTGATTCCCAGGTCTGTAACACCTGTATTCTGTGGTCAGTTTGCAATCGTTCCCTTTGTAGGGAATAAATCCGTAATACAATAAACGCTGACCTTACTTTAGGAGTAAACTGGTGTTTTAAAAATTACGCAACAGTGTATCCGTGTCACACACCTCACAGAGACGAAGCGGGTAGGGACGGAGGAACGAGGCTATCTAGGCACACGTTACCGGCGTACTTGTATGATACCATTTACATAATGCCTATTAATTCTATTAATGCCAGCTGTATCTTCAAATTGGAAATGACGCTATTAGTAGGCAACTTGTAAAACTCCAATAAGGATTACAGCAGGGGAACAGTATGGCTGGATTACAGTGTACCGTGGGTTACATAAGAATTAGAGTATTCAAACAGAATAGCTATAATTCGCAGGAAAAATACAGTAAAATGTTATACAGAAATGTTTACTTGCCCCGTCATGTTGGGGAAAACTGTGTAGAATGTTTGAACATTGGGAGATTTTCTGTCGGGGAGGGCGCGCTACATTTTGATTTTATTATCTTTCTTTTTTTTTTTTTTTTTTAATTTTGCACCGAGGGCAACTGCCACTTTGCCCTCCACCCCCCACACTACGCCACTGCTTGCACACACAAAAAAAACCATGATACTGTAGCTTGAAATGTAAAAATGATACAAGTTGCACATTTTTTATGATCCGTTTCAAACTGGACTTTTATTGAGCTATATTCATTATAACTGCTGAGAATACTGGAGGTCCGCACTGAGACAAATGCTCCGAAATATGCAGTAATCTCGGTTATACAAACAAATCTGTATAAACCGCTGAGAATTTGAAGTAGATAAAGAACACACAGTGATGTTATAAAGTATTCAAATCACCATGGAATTAAAATAGATACAGAAAAGTCATTAAAATCAAAAGAGAAGAAACAGATAAAATTACCAGCATTCCTGTCTGTGCAAACGGGTTTGACTATCTTTCAGGATCTGTTGCTACTGTGTCAGATAAAAGGAATCTGTAAACATTTTATGTCATAAATAATTTCATGTATGAACGTGTTTGATGGGTTTCACACCCTTAATGCTCGAAATCATGTATTTTGAAAGTGTCTACGTCTAGCTTTAGACTTCTTTTAAGGAACACTAAACAGTTGTTATTATTATTATGTTTTTTATATAGCGCCATCAAATTCCGCAGCGCTTTACAATGGGTGGACGAACAGACATGTAGTTGTAACCAGACAAGCTGGACACACAGGAACAGAGGGGTTGAGGGCCCTGCTCAATGAGCTTACATGCTAGAGGGAGTGGGGTAAAATGACACAAAAAGGTAAGGATAGTATTAGACTAGTGACCGTTGCAGAAGAGGAATCAGTTAACAGTTTAATTGATACGCTTTTATAAAGAAGTGGGTTTTTAACGATTTTTTGAAGGCATGGAGACGGGGTAAGCATCTAACGGAGGAGGGAAGTGAGTTTGGTTATGAACACAAACCTGTATTCCTAAGGCTTGACTGCCACTGTACCTACTACAATATAGAGACCTTTTGTTTGTGATAGAAATAAAAAAAATGAAATGTTTTTGCTTACCGTTTTTCCTTCGGCACTGCTAACTACTCCGCCTCCACTTTTATTTAAAAATACATAAATTTTTATTGAATGCATCTGCGAATATGAATCTCTATTATGATGCACTATACCCCCCTAAATTAACACCGTAGAGAAAATATACACTTTTGTGAAAGTGTGGTTCTAAAACAAAAAAAACAAAAAAAAGTGGTGTAGTTTTGTGAATTACAATCTCATAAGAATGGATATTGGTGAATGATACAGTGTAGCTGTTTGAAGTAGTTATAGTTTGAATCCGAATACATTTGATGCGTAAACTAGTTACATGATGTGTTTATCTTTGCTGGATACAAAGTAGATTTTTGGCTGATAGAATATAGACAGAGAAGAATAAAAACTGCTTATCCTTATATGGTATTACATTTAACGGACCTAGATGTTTTTCTTTTCATAATTTTATACGGGAATTGCAAGTTGGTTGTAGTAGGCATATTTAATAAATACGGACAGTGCAAGTGGCAAAATAAAAGCACTAATAGTGTGTATTATGCTCATCTATAAAGTATTTGTTAGAAGTTATTTTCCAGTAGAGGGCAGTGTTCCACCAGTTGCTTGCAGACCCTAAAAATCTATTTTCGGAAGTTTTAAGTTCCCAGTTTCTTTCCTTACGTGTAATCACTTCGACGTACCTCTTGCATACATTTTATGTGTAGAATCACACCTTGAAATAACATCTAAATGCATACAGGCAAATTCCAGTACTTTACAAAGGCTGAATGCGTCTTTATTACGCATAGCTTGTTATAAAGTGGTGGATGTTACAATACTGATTTTTACAGATGCATACAGCTATAGCATGTTAGGCAGCACATCAGTAACCACCCTCAGTCACTCCAACTGTCCTGCCAGTTTGATTGACACTGCATAGCTTCTGGAGCAATAGACCTATCCCTAGCATAGTGCACCAGCATTCTGTAGAACTACCTGTATTTCAGCATGTCTGTCCTCTTATTTTCTATTTCTTTAATTTGAAGGAAGAAAAGGATTCACATTGAAATGTCTTTAAACTATATTCAGAAACGTTTTTTTTTTTTTTAGTCCTTTTGTCAATGCGACTTCATAAGGTAGTTGTGTTTTTTCAATTCACAGACTCTCATCCTCTGATACAACATTCACCAAAAAACATTCTTATTTTTGAGATCCAGAAAATTAAACAGGAAATTCTAGAAAGGATAATCTAGTTACTACAATATTACTTCTATAATTAACTAGGTATGCTGGATGCAAAGTACATGTAAAACATTGACCAGAAGAGGCTGTTCAAAGACACTTGTGTAGCACCCACCTCTTGTCCACCCACGTATCGCCTCTGTTCTTCGTAGATTTTCCCTACTTGGGGACACTGACCTCCTCCATGATGCCAACATGATGGCTTCCTTGCCAGCGCCCATTCGAAGTGATGACTGTTCCTACTAGCCAGCGCTAGCAGTGCGAGCTAGGGAGTTACCCTAGCAACCACAGTACATGTGCTGTGGTTGTTATGGTGGTCAGCAGATGGATCTCTTGAGGGAGGACTTGTCTGCTCTCCCTGTATCTCAATTCCTCAACATTTAGTGCTTGTTGAGAAATTGAGATACACATTTGTAAATAGGTTTTACTTCCAGTCTATACATCTGCTAGCAAAACCGCTAGCTCAATGTATAGATGGATTTTGAAGCTCGGAGCTGAAGTAATTTAACTCATGACCGGGTCCCTTTAAGCATCTTGGGAAATGTAAGTCAGAAACATCTTAGCTGCCACTGTTGGCCAAAACTGTCTTATCAAGTGGATGGCAAAACTGGCTTATCCAATGGATGGCAAAACTGGCTTATCCAGTGGATGGCAAAACTGGCTTATCCAGTGGATGGCAAAACTGCCTTATCTAATAGATGGCAAAAAACTGCCTTATCTAATGGATGGCTAAACTGCCTTATCTAATGGATGGCAAAACTTCCCCACTTCAGTAGTGGGGAAAGTGATGGAAACCATGTTAAAGGATAGGATTGATGAACATCTAAAAACACATGGATTTCAAGATCAGAGACAACATGGGTTTACTTCAGGGAGATCATGCCAAACTAATCTTATTGATTTTTTTGATTGGGTAACTAAAATTATAGATCAGGGTGGTGCAGTAGACATTGCTTACCTAGATTTCAGTAAGGCTTTTGACACTGTTGCACATAGAAGGCTTATCAATAAACTGCAATCTTTAAGTTTGGATTCCAATATTGTTGAATGGGTAAGGCAGTGGCTGAGTGACAGGCAACAGAGGGTTGTAGTTAATGGAATATATTCGAAGCTTGGACTTGTCACCAGTGGGGTACCTCAGGGATCTGTACTTGGACCCATTCTCTTTAATATTTTTATTAGTGATATTGCAGAAGGTCTTGATGGTAAGGTATGTCTTTTTGCTGATGATACTAAGATATGTAACAGGGTTGATGTTCCAGGAGGGATAAGCCAAATGACAAATGATTTAGGTAAACTAGAAAAATGGTCAGAATTGTGGCAACTGACATTTAATGTGGATAAGTGCAAGATAATGCATCTTGGACGTAAAAACCCAAGGGCAGAGTACAGAATATTTGATAGAGTCCTAACCTCAACATATGAGGAAAGGGATTTAGGGGTGATTATTTCTGATGACTTAAAGGTAGGCAGACAATGTAATAGAGCAGCAGGAAATGCTAGCAGAATGCTTGGTTGTATAGGGAGAGGTATTAGCAGTAGAAAGAGGGAAGTGCTCATGCCATTGTACAGAACACTGGTGAGACCTCACTTGGAGTATTGTACACAGTACTGGAGACCGTATCTTCAGAAGGATATTGATACCTTAGAGAGGGTTCAGAGAAGGGCTACTAAACTGGTTCATGGATTGCGGGATAAAACTTACCAGGAAAGGTTAAAGGATCTTAACATGTATAGCTTGGAGGAAAGACGAGACAGGGGGGATATGATAGAAACATTTAAATATATAAAGGGAATCAACACAGTAAAGGAGGAGAATATATTTAAAAGAAGAAAAACTACCACAACAAGAGGACATAGTCTTAAATTAGAGGGACAAAGGTTTAAAAATAATATCAGGAAGTATTACTTTACTGAGAGGGTAGTGGATGCATGGAATAGCCTTCCAGCTGAAGTGGTAGAGGTTAACACAGTAAAGGAGTTTAAGCATGCGTGGGATAGGCATAAGGCTATCCTAACTATATGATAAGACTAGGGACTAATGAAAGTATTTAGAAAATTGAGCAGACTAGATAGGCCGAATGGTTCTTATCTGCCGTCACATTCTATGTTTCTATGTTTCTATGTTTATCTAATGGATGGCAAAACTGCCTTATCTAATGGATGGCAAAACTGCCTTATCTAATGGATGGCAAAACTGTCTTATCTAATGGATGGAAAAACTGCCTTATCCAATGGATGGCAAAACTGCCTTATCCAATGGATGGCAAAACTGCCTTATCTAATGGATGGCAAAACTGTCTTATCTAATGGATGGCAAAACTGTCTTATCTAATGGATGGCAAAACTGGCTTATCTAATGGATGGCAAAACTGGCTTATCTAATGGATGGCAAAACTGCCTTATGTAATGGATGGCAAAACTGCCTTATCCAATGGATGGCAAAACTGTCTTATCCAATGGATGGCAAAACTGTCTTATCCAATGGATGGCAAAACTGTCTTATACAATGGATGGCAAAACTGTCTTATACAATGGATGGCAAAACTGTCTTATACAATGGATGGCTAAACTGCCTTATCCAATGGATGGCTAAACTGCCTTATCTAATGGATGGCAAAACTGCCTTATCTAATGGATGGCAAAACTGTCTTATCTAATGGATGCCTTGGACAACAGGCTGTGCAACCTTCTGTCTTGTTGGCAATATTGCTTTTATTTTATTATTATTTATTTATAAATCCACAACTAGCAGCCTGTTATCAGTTTGAGAAACACAAAAGAGAAAACTTTTCTTCAAATGCTTTCTGATCGTTGGCGTTTCAGAAGTACGTAATCCATTCCAGATGGCATACAATATGTGCTGGCTGGGTTTCTGCTGAAGATCTGACATACTTCGTGATTAATCACCTGTTCATGGCAAGACACATATCCCAAAACCTGTTGCAGGAGAGTAGCTTGCTGCCAGAGTTAGAACCTTTTCGACGTTCATCTAAACTTGACTTCCACATACTTTTTTTTTTTTTTTCCCTACCAATTCTTGGACATATTCTTGTGCAATAATAGCAAAAAGAACAGTCCTAAAATAAAATTCTACATATATTTTAAAGACATGAACATTTTAAGGACTCGCTGAAGAACCAGGCAGAAATAAAAAAAAAATATATATATATAGTCACTAATTTATGCCACCCTTGTAAACTTTAGTTGTAATTCTATTTTTGTAAAAATAAAACAGCATAATGTCTTAGAGAATATTTAAGCGGTTTGCTTTATGTCACTGACCACCATTATGTGGGTGGGCATCCATATTTGTTGTCTCACCCCACACGTAGTTTGTTCTTCTTTGTTGTCCCTCCCATTCTAAATGGTCTATAAACGTGTGTCCTCAAATAACATTTTTGGCTCTTTAGTAAAAACTTGGGGCAAAGATTTTACTGAAAATTAAAAAAAAAAATCACTTTTCCCCCCCAAAATTTTTTTAAACCTGGAAATCTATGGAATCTTCTGTGGACAATGTTCCACGTCATGTCAAGTTCATATGACTGGTGGAAGAACACCAAACTCCCAACTATTTTTAATAGTTATTTTGTCTTGTTTTTAGAGAAACTTTAATGGAAGAGCAGATTTCTGTGGAGCAATGGCATGCCAAAAATATTCTTTTAAAAATACCACAGAGCTGTTTGAATTAAGGACTGGCGCGATGTGTAGTAGAGAACTTGATTTCATTTGTTTACTTTAGTATGATGGCACAGATGTTTTGTTTTAAAGCGTAAAAGTTGTGGCCTTAACTCACCCAATACGCTACAAACATTACAAGTCTTAATTAAAAAGTATTTTTTTCCTAAATTTTTTTTAACTTTTATATCTTCCCGTCAGTCTTGGTTAATAGGATTATCGTTCCAACAAGGTACACATATTCAAAAACCTTTCAAACTCAGTAGTTGTGGTTGCCATTTATGACCACAAACATTGTATATTTTGCGACACAAATCTATATTTCCAGCAGAGTGAGTGTGTGTGTGTGTGTGTGTGTGTGTGTATACACACATCTAACTGTCAAATGTCTTTAACTTCACTAAGGTGAAAAATAAAATTGAAAATCTCAACTACCAAAAAAGAAAAATGTAAGTGTTAAATTAGTATCAAAATGGTAAAATAAAACAAACACTAACTACCTAGGTATGCCAGCATGACCTTTATGCAGTGCAATATGTGCATTTTGTTGGCATTGTGATATTTTATGGAATATATATATTTTCTTTTTAGGAATCCTTGGTTAATGAACACAGAATATTTGCAAATAAAATGTTTGATATTATTCAATTGGAGTTACTGAGGTATGATAGATTGTCAGCTCTCGTGCTATCTAGCTAAGTACTTTGTATTAAAGAGCTTCAATGGCTAGATATCATCTTACGGGCAGGTCCCTCTCTACCTTTTGTACGTCCTCCACTAATTGTACAGCGCTGCGGAATCTGTCGGCGCTTTCTAAATACCAGTAATAAATAAAAACATGTGGGGAAGAGAGAGGAAGTACACCAGGAAGGAATGGATACCTGATGGTGTGTAATAAAGAGGATATAAAGAATGAGTGTCTCTTTATACATTGAGGGTGGTCAATGTGCCGGAACATCCTTTTAGAGGAAGTGCCTGAAGCCTCTCTCCAGTGCCCTCAAACAAGGTCCAAACAAAGCTATTGTTGATTTTCACCTATGGGCTCCATGATGCATAAAATACTAGGCTACGTTTGTAGATCCTTTAGTGGCAGACATCTGTGCACACACTCTCTTATCTGCTGAGTGACTGAATGGCTAAAGGTTCTTATTAATGGAGTTAGTCTGACTTTCTTTTACTCCAGTAACAAACGGATTGCAGGCTTAAGGAAATCTGTTCTGTTGTTTTGTTTTGTTTTTTTTGTCTGCTTCATTGATCCACTTTCAGTATGAATTTGTGTAGCTTTCAGAGGTCTCAGTACATATCCTGTTCTCGTGCTCATCCTGTTAGTGAAAAGTTCTGATTGTCATTTAATTCGTCTGCAGGTTTTTTGTATTTTGTTGACCTTTTAAATAGTCATTTTATTTTTGTAACTTTTTTTTTTACTTATTTGGAATATGATAGCATGCTATTTGGGTAATGCATGTTAAAATAATGTACCATTCCTAGCCTTCTATGTAGCTAAAATGTACTTTTTTGTTGTTTTCTTGTGTCGCTTGCTTTGTTACACCCAATATTTGAACTGAAGATGGACTTTAGCTTACTCTGTAGATTGAAATAATCATCATTTCTTTTTTTTAAATAATTTCAGAAACTGCAGATAAAAATGATTGATCTAACTTTAGTAAATACATGTCTCCTTAACGAAACTAGTTGCAGCTCTGTCAAATCACAGTAAATGCTTAAAGTGACATTGTAGTCACCAGAACCACCACAGCCATAGCCAGTCCATGGAGGTTGAGCACTGCAAATGCTGCCTTTTCAAAGAAAAGACCTAGCTTACATTTATGCCTAGTAACACCTCTAGGTGCAGACACTCGGACCACCTAGTCTAGCACTGCACAGTGTTCCTTTTTTTTTATTCTTTATTTTGGTTGTGCAGGTGGTTACAGGTTATTAACAGACGCCACAACAGCGTATTTCAAGATTTACAGTAGTTGTGTAGTGGCATAGAAATTTGTACATTGTTTTATATTGTATATCTTGCTTAACTAAACGGTTATGTTGTCAAAATATGATTAACTAGCATAAACTAAAACAAAATAATTAATGCTTGACGTTGAGTACATCGGCATTTGTGGTAGGCATACTGATTTACACATAAAGCTTAAACTTCGCCAATGAAACCGTACATTTGCTAAAATCAGGAGTTGGTCAGAGAAGACAATATCGAGCTGTTAGCGGTTTTGAATGACATGCTGAGATACTTAAATGTACCGCTGGGTACGCAGGGAAGTTGAAACAGGCAAAATTAAGCATGACTTAAGCGGCCACAGGTCTTATTACGTATAGCAAAATCTCACAGGGGCTGGTGAAGCAAGTGGTAAGAGTTGTAACATGCTAGACTTCTTATGCAGCCCGTCAAGTGCTATGCACCAATGGAATTCTAAATCTGAAACTTATCTAGGCTCTAGGCTTTACTGAGTTAAACAATATATACATATCAAGAGTCTTGGGCCCCTAGATTGTAGAGGCTCATTAATAACTGGTTTCACAGGTTAACTGACCGACCACTGAGCCATAGCACCTCCCTGCCAGTCTGTATGTTACGTCGATCAGCCGATGCCGAGAGTGCTCCTTTAAGAGTGCGTGTGTGTTGCCAGACCCGGAGTTCTCTACATCGCTGCTTCGCCGTCTGGCTCGGGTCAGATCCCTGGCCCTGTGGTGTGTGTTTCTTCCGCCATGGTGAGTTAGTAGCAGGGGGTCTGGGCTTTGTTTCTCTCTGGTATGCGTGAGGGTGGATGTCGGAGTCTGGTAGCCCTGTCGCCATTTCCCGCCGTTTAAGGATGGCTCTGTCTGGAGGCTGTTCTGGGAGCTCCAGGTGGGCTTCTACTCAGGTGGCGTCAGGTAGCCGGGCGGATCCACGCTGCCACACTTCACATGACCAGCTTGAAGTGTCGACCCCTGGCGTGGAGCGATGTCCAGTGGCCGGTACGAAGCTGGTCAAAGAATGCTTGGGTGTGGTTTAGCGGGAGTGTTTTGTGCCGCCATCTTGCGTGGGCCCCTGGAGGCTTGTACGTTTGTGGGCTTGGTCGTTTGTTTGAGCCGCTGTGTGGGGGTAGTCGTCCCCAGTGAGGACTGGGATATCCCCCGCCGGTCCAGAGGGGGGGGGGGGTAGCAGGGCAGCATCCGAGTGAAGCTTATGAGCAGATCTCGTGCCGGGAGATCGGCCACTTCCCCCAGGCCTTAGGCTCCGCTCTAGTGTAGGCCGCATGGCCGGTTTGGGTGCTCGGTTCGTTTGTCGATGCGGGACAGATACCATTCTGTTCCCTGTGTTGTCCTGTATCAGCTTTTGGGCACCCTGTGCTGCTGGCATGGTTAGATTGACCAGGATAATCGTTTTTGTGCCCGCTGGCTTGAGAGCCCTCATGGAGCACGTCCGGCCATCTTGGCTGTCGGGCCCCGCCCCCTCTATAGTGTTCCTTTTTAATGTAATTTGTATCAAAATGTTAACGTTTATTGTTTCTTCATTTAATTTTTTTTTTTTTACCCTTTAATTTCGGGTAAATTTATTTTTGTTGAACTTTCCCGTAACTATCATTGGTAAAGCAAAGAGGAAAAGGGGTTTAATTGACCATGGTCTCCAAAAAAGAGACAGCCTGGTTAATATATTGTAAAAATTTAAAAAAAATGTATTAATGTTTTGGATTTTTTCATTTGGTTTTTTTGTGTGGTCTATTTAAAACGTCAGCCATCAATCCACAGAGAAGTCAATATGTGATAGAGTACACTATAATTATCCCCATTATCTCTGCTCATTGTGTTTTGTGTTTCTACACTTTAGGAATTCAGAGAGTGCAGCAGTTGGCAGAGAACACCAGATATTTCCGGCAGCGGTTACGCGAGCTGGGATTCATTATTTATGGGAATGAGGATTCTCCGGTTGTACCAGTACTCCTGTATATGCCAGGAAAAGTAGGGTAAGTATCAGAAGCAACGCAGTAAATAAAAACAATTTATGTTTAAAATAGTTCAGCAACATCATAACATTTTATGTAATCTTAAAATGTACAATTGTCTTTATACCTTAAATAAACCTGTATTTATAGAACAAATATTACGTAAAGCGCAAAGCGTTCTTACACAAATCACCTAAATTAATGGTTTATCTAGGTACACTTTTACCTTAATAAACAGCAGCTTCTCATCTAAATAAAAGAATGAGAATATAGTGTAGTACTTTAATAATAGACTTTATCAGTCATTTTTTTATTGTATATGTTTTATAGAAACTATACACAGTACTGACCAATGGACTTAAAGTCCAGAGGACACAGAAGGTCACTTATAATATTGAAAACACAATTTTATTTAGAAATGATTATATAACCGGAAGCCCATTAAAAAGAGCCCAATGACTTGACAGATATGAAGTGGGTAGGGGGGTTACGGGTTAGTAGGAGCTGGCTTGAGAGGGTGGGTTAAACGTCAGAAAAATATTATAAAGCTGATCCGATGGACTAATTGAAAATGGAGACACAAGAGTACAGGTTAGAGTGGACTAAAGTGTCCAGAAAGTGTGGGGTATATAGTTAATACACCCCTCTACAAGAACCAAAACATGCCTCGTTATTACAACCAATATCCCCCAGACTATATGCTTATCTCTCAATAGTGAACATGTGCAGACTTGTAGATTTACTCCAATAGTGGAGCGATAACAGTGTAACCACCTAAAGAGACAGTTATAAGCAATGGACAAGTGTAATCACCTTCAAGTAATTTTACCAACACATCATTATCACGTGGCCAAAAAATAAATCCCTAAGCCTTCATATTGCTGACTTTAAAAAAGGTGTCTACTTTGAAGTCGCTATCTGAAAAAATGTAAACAAGAAGGCTTAGTGCTGCCTATAGGAATAACCCTAACCTTGCAAAATCTTGCACGCTTGCCCTGATTCCCTAGGTATACCCTATATAAACCTCACCATACTGAATTAAACCCTCATTTGAATATCTACAATATCCCTCACAAGACAAACATCCGTGAAAAAACAAATGTACAGTGAAATGTTTTGTTTTTTTTTAGTTTTTTTTTTTTTAAAAGAGAAAGAAGAGAAGCCTGACGCGCATTTCGGCGCTACTAGAGCACCTTCGTCTGTGGCATATAAGCAAATCGCCTCTCTTTCTTTTTAAAGGGAAATGGGTAGGTCTAGTGCCCGAGATAGCCAATGAGGCATAAGAGGGTGTGTGCTCCTGCCCCATCTTCCAATGAGGTTAGGAGGTGTGTATACATCCTCTACACATATGTCTCCCTCTCAAGGTGCCATGCATTACTACCTAGCTTCCCTCTGCCCACATTGGCGGAACGTCAACCCTAATGGTAATGTGGGTTAGACTGGCGCCCTAAGTGGCCAGTAAGGTGTTAGGGGGTGTGTGCTTCTTCTCCCAGTACTAGGGATTGTGTACATTCTCTTCACATATGTTCCCAATGTATAATACTTTAACCCAATTTACCTCCGCCCACATAGGCAGAACGACGATCCTAATAAAAGTAAATAGTGATGTAGCTTAGCACATCCCTCCCAACCTGAAAGGGGTGGAGGGGGCATATAAGTGCGCGTTTCATGCTTGGTATGTCCACATTACCCCCATCTATGATGAATAGGATTAATCAGGTTATCATAAACACTTTAGCTGTAAATCCCAAGTAATCGTTAGGATGAATAAGAGAAGCAAACAAAAATTCTACAGGCGATCTTTTGTACCTAAAGTCCCATCAAAATACACAATATGGAAAGAAGAAGAAAATTGTATAACACGCTGTATCAGCCTATATAATTGAAAAAAATAATATCCCTTTTATTATTAACATTATTACTCCTACGTGCCAATAAAGGGGGTGAATGTAAAGCCCTCATTTAATCCTCTGGGTGCCACGGTATCTAATTTATTGATCCAAAAACACACACTCTTTTTTGAGGGCTAGATCCAGTCCATGCAGTCTCTTGTCCATGCAGACTCTTTCAATCTCAGCAAATGTCATACCCTTGGGGGAGTTTTTATGGTATGACCTGACATGTCGGGTGAAACGTCACAGAATGTATTGCAGTTAAAGAACTGCTTTACTGGGACCTTGACTGTACCAATGGAGTCTGTTAAAACATCTGACCTTCTGGAGATGTACTTGCAAGCTAACACAGCGTCCACATTGGTACGTACCAGTTACTGAAATCCAGTTCCTATTTGTACTAGGGGCTGACAAATGGCTTGGTACTAACATTTCCTTTAGATGTTTTCCCCTTCTGGCTGTTAGTGAGACTCTCTTGGGGAGACGACATTTGACACGTATGGATTCTGAGTCAGGAGTGGCCAAAATCTTTCTAAGGTTTTCTTAGCGACGTCCCATCCTGAATCAAAATTAACCACACATCTACTCTGTTTAGGGGTGCTTAGCCTAGCCGTGTCTCCAAGTAGCGTTTCTCTCTTACATGCCAGTGCTCTCTGTTATGCTCTTTTCAGACATCTATTAGGGTACCCTCTTTCCTTGAACCTCTGCTTGAGTTGAATTGCTTAAGACTTAAAATCTTCAATAGAGGAGCAGTTCCTCCTCAGCCTCAAGTACTGACCAATTGGAATTGCCCCTCTTAAATGGAGTTGGGTGGTAACTGACCCATCTAAGCATGGTGTTGGTGGAGGTGGATTTACGATAGAGCGTGGTGTTGATGTTTTATGGAAAAATCACCACTAGTGACAATATATTATACCTATAGCAGAGCAACAATGACCACATGTAAAAGAAAACACCATAAAACTGCAGTATGTCAGGGTTACATTATCTTCTACATATTCCCTACTCTAAGAACTTTTCAAAGAATCTGATGTTATCAGTCTTCACACCGAGTCGTAATTAAATCAGGACAGAGCAAACCATTTATATTGGAAGTATTACAGCAGGATGATAACAATCTGTAATACTGTAATAATATTATTGTTATTTATATAGCGCCAACTTATTCGGCAGCGCTTTACAATATTATAAAAGGGGGAGCATTTACCAAAAATTAGAAAATGACAAAATGTTACAGGTTGATGAGGAGCCTGCTTACAGTCTAAAGGAGGTGGGGTATAAAAATACAATAGGAATGGCATCAGGGAGGACTGCAAATAAGCAAGGTGGAAAAGTAACAGAACACGAGGTGAGTGTGGCTCTTTAGGAGAGAGCACGTTTGTAAAATTGAAATTACTGTGGGAGGCCATAAGCTTTTCTGAAGAGATGTGTTTTGAGGAACTTCTTAAACGATTGAAGACTATGAGAGGGCGTGAAGGGGACTAAACTGGCTGTTCCAAAGGAAAGGAGCTGCCCGCAAGTAGTCCTGTAAGCGCAAATTAGCAGTAAGGGTTGCCAGCAGAGCAGAGAGACCGAGAAAGAGCGTACCTACGAATCGGTGAAGGAATATAACTGGGGCTAGAGTTGTTAAGCGCTTCATAGGTAAGGGATAATATTTTGAAATGACAATTATAGGATACAGGGCATAAAATAAATCAACAAATGCTGTAGATGAAGAATTTCATGTAGGCTTTATTTGAGCAGGGCACTCAATCCCTCTGTTCCTGTGTGTTCGGCTCGTCTGGTTACAAATTACGTGTCTGTTACTCCACCAATTGTACAGCGCTACGGAATTTGTTGGGGTTTTATAAATAATTATGATCTAGCACCAACTTATTCCGCAGCACTTAAAATATTATAAAGGGTAAAATTTAACCGGGAAAATTTAATAAATAAGATAATTACAAAAAGTTATAGGAACAATAGGTTGATGAGGACCCTGCTCAAACGACCGCATTTGTTGATTTATTTCCTGTCCCACAATTTGGAGGCATTTAGTTATTGTACTCTTTATGTGACACTTGCTATTTTGCATGTGCTTCACGTTCGAAATGAGATACCCTTTTGAAATGCCTTTTTCCGTACATACAGCCATGCTGCAAAACACTTGGTCCTGAATTAGTCCCTGTCGTATATACAACTGTAGGCTAACCTCCCAGACGTTTAACATGAATTTCCTAAAATAGCAGTGGAATTATGTTCTCGAACCTTGACTTCTTCTTGTTGCCCCAGGAAACACATACAAACAGAAAGGTTTGCACAGCAAGCCGTGTAGAACGGGCTATGTGTTTTCTTACACAGAGCTGTAGCATGCGTAGTGAAAATGTGCCAAGTTCTCTTTCTTCTTTGGATTGTAGCCAAATTAAATTGATACATAGATATATCTTGATTGGAATACTGGCCCAGCCTCCATGACTGAGATCATCAATCTTGATGTTCTCCGCCAATCCAATGCTTTACCATAGGAAAGCCTTGAGAGGCTATTGTGCATGTGCGGCAAAACGCTGCACCAACCAGCATTTCCTCATAGACTTGCATTGAGTCAGTGCTTCTCCAATCAGAGCGTTGAGACACTGAACGTCTGTGCTGCACACTGGACGCAGGAAGCACCTCTAGCAGCCGTCTGAGTGACTGCCACTAGAGGTGTATGTGAGTGCATGTACTATACTATATGCACACATGCACCCTTGTAAGAATTGTTTTAAAGGAACATTCCATTTCAAAAGCCTTTGATTCTGAGTTAGGCGAGAGCGTGCAATTTCCGTGCATGCCTGTGCTGATTGGGGGAGGGGGGCAGGGAGGAAGATGCAGCCAGGAAGAAGGAACAGAAAGTCATGTGGACCAGGGAGAACCTGGTAGCCCTGAGACTGCTCGCGCACTGGCTCTATGGCACATATGGGAGAAGGCGCGTCTGCCACTTCCATTAGCTCAGTCAAACATTCTGCTGTGTCTGGATCACTTGGCTTATAATGTCAATTATTGGATATTTTTTATGCACTAAGCATTATTAACTTTTAGTCATACAGTTCTTAAAATAAATAAAATGGCATGTGACCGTTTCCATTAAAAGGATACACAACATATAACATGTAAATAACCTCTATGGTGCATGGCTCACTATACTCTATATTAAATGAGAATGCAGTGCTCGAACGGTGTTTAATTCCTTATAAACGTGCATTTTCATAACTAACTGACTGCATGGGATAAAAACCTCTCCAATTAGAAATAGCTAAAACCACTCATTGAATACTTTTTTTGTTCAGATTCTTTTATGTTCATGCCAATATGTAGGTATGCAGATACATTAATAGCAGACCATAAACACTGCACATTAGTTAGTGAAGCCAAATCTCTCCGCAAGGCAACAGATGGACGGCCATCGAATATGAGTCCACAGTAATCTCTTCTCGTTGTTTTACGAAGTCACTGGAGATTAACTCTCGTCAGCATCAGTAAAACTAATCAGTGTTATCCCAGTTATGCATGTCACTCATTAATTATGCACTATGTTATTTAGCACGGCAGGGCTTTGTCATTATTTATAAGCTTAAAAGTAATCTAGGATGCCATCGGTCTGAAAGGTCTCCTCAGTGAATGAAATACATTTTGGCTTTCCTAATCTTTAGATAACAGAAACCTGATTTTATTGTTGGTATCTAAATAAATAAATAATCAAAGATTAAAACATCTATAGCCTTTTAAAGCTAGTCTAATACTTTTCACTGTCTTTCATAAAGTCAAACAAAGATCTAAAAACAGATATAAAAAAGTACATGATTACTTGTCCTGATTTTCTTGTCCCTTGTTTGTAGTACTTTTGGATTTTTTTTCCCCAAATGTCTTTAAATATCCTCCGCAATAGAACTAGCAATGATTTGTGCTGTGTCTAAGTTGATCACATTGCTCCATAGCAATAAAACTATTGTGCGTCGCATATAGACGAGTATATTACAGAGCTTCTTAATGTAAAGTGTCAGCGTATATAAAAATATCATAGATTGTAGAAGAGCCTTTAACCTAAATACACTAATCCAATGTACGTTGGTAAAGTTTACTTATGAATAACCACACAATTTGGTTTTGTGCTGAAATCTTCTGATAGATTTTATTTGTAAATTCATTAAAAAACTCACTTTCTTCCATTATCCTTCCATTTTCACAGCGCCTTTGCAAGGCATATGTTGGAGAGGAAAATTGGCGTTGTCGTCGTCGGGTTCCCTGCAACACCCATTACTGAAGCCAGGGCTCGGTTTTGCATTTCAGCCTCTCACACGAAGGAGATGTTGGACACAGTAAGTTACTCCCATTGCACTGAATTTCCTATTGTATCGTTGAAATTGTATCCACTTAATGACCAGTGACCGTCAACGTGACCATAACTATCTGGTCCTTGAGGTGTAGGTGAGTGCATGTACTATACTATATGCACACACACATTCTCCAGCATTTTTTGATTTTTGTAATAACCTTTTGGAATGCAAAATTTAACTGTGAAAGAAAAATGCAGCTTATGTGTGAACAGCCATACAGGAAGTGCTTGGATCAGGGGTATCTCCCATAATGCTTTTACAACAAGAATTCCAACAAAATATCAGGGGAGATGTAATTCACAGCACCTGAAGTGGCAAAGGTTGCCTACCCCAGCTTAGATTTTACTATACACATAGCCTACGTACACGTTTACACCTTTACAGCAAACCAGTAGATGTTTAGGGAGTACAGAAATCCTGCTTTCACATTAAGTTTAATAGTTGTGGGGATTGAAATATATTTTCCGCTTACAAGAAGATGAGCCTTTGTGATGAGCACGAATCCCTTCTTCTATTTCTTCATTACTTGTGTTGATATAATGAGAAAGTAGTATATTTTGAAGTGGTGATGGTGGATATAATTAGTTTTATATGGTAAACTACGGGGTACAAAAAGGAAATTATTGAGGTAGTAAGGCAAGATATTATAAGAATTATAATTTGTGAGGGTATAAAGCTAAAGAGGGTGAGATGGGGTAATTTGTGACATTGGAGGAGGGAGGGTGGAGATTGGCTTGTCTTATCTCCTTTCAAAGTGTATAGTGCTGTATTCAAAAAGCTGGTGACGTGTTTAGGGTGATAAATAGACTTTAGAGGGTTTGCAGAGCTGCTGATGTTGCTGAATAACAACAAAAGTTAATGTTGACACAAAACCTTTTGCGGCCAGATTGTAATGACTGTAGATTATGAAATTGAGGCTTTAATGTAAAGCGCTGCGGAATAGGCTGGCGATATATACATACCAGTAATAATAAGGGATTAAGTAAAAGTATTTTGTTGTTGCTAAGTTGCAGGATCCGCTTCTGTTATTTGGATTTCCTTCTATCTGCATTCCTTTTCATCTTCAAATGAGGGTATTCCCAAAGCAGTATGTTTTTTGTTTCTGCAGAAAACCATTACCAAACTGGCTTTTGGGTGGTGGATGAGAATCAACGTAAAGAAAAGTTAGATATCTGACTGACGACAGCCATTCTAAATTTCCCAAAATTGCTTTTGGTTTGAATTAATCAGCAGAGAAAAAAAAATGGATGACTTTTTTATTTTTTATTTATTATTTTCTATAATACCCTTTCCCGTCATTGCAGTGGAAAGAACATACCCTGCGTAGTTTACTGTATGAATTATATTACCTTCCCCGCACAGTAAATGCAACATAATATATCTCTAGTGTAGGTCTGGTATAATTAAGAATGAGAATGTAATTCCGTTGTCATTGATATTCCGTCACCTGTTTCTTTCACTCTTACAATTTCCCCAATATAACGTGATAACCAGCAGAATTCACAGACCTTAGCCAGAGATGCTAAACTTCCAAGATCTATAATCTGTGTTATTTGCAGACACAGCGTTTCCATGATTAACTAACCACACACTTGGACATTCGAGACAGATTTTCATTTTTCTACTTGGCTAATTCAGGAGTAGCCACAAGGTAGCCATCCAGCTGTTGCTGATGTAATGGTGCTGATTTGATCTGGCGTGACCACACGATACTGCGCTAAGCCTGCGATTTATGAGTATTTAAAAAATTAGCCCAGTCAAGCCCTACCAATAGATGGCGCAATGTAAAATAACCCAGGTATCATATAAGCCAGACCGGCACTGCTAGTGTTAGTAAATTTCCATGTACCTTTATTGAAGCATGAGTTACATGCACTCTTGTTTATATTTAGAATTCAGTACATTTAGTCTATAGAAATCAGAATAATTTTGACACCAATAGCTTTGAATCTGTGTTTGCTATTCATTCAGCTCTATTTAAAAGATTCACAGCTGCTTTTATTTAAAAATCACAACGGCTTACTTAAAAGAATACCAATGCAACTTTAATGCATTTAATAGATTTTGCCTTATTTATATGCTGTATTTTTCTTTTGCATGCTCTGTTCTTTATAGTTTTTGTGCAAATAAAAACCAAACTAATATTTTAGCTACACCCCATCACTCCATAAAGACCTTTTCAAATGTATGCACACAGTCTCAGCCCCAACAGCACAAGAGGTAGTTACATAGCTGAAAAGAGACTTGCGTCAAGGCCCGGACTGGCCATCGGGCACACCGGGCAAATGCCCGGTGGGCCGCGATGGCCGTGGCCGGCAGGGGAGATCACAGAATCTCCCCTGCCAGCCCGTGCAGGGCCAGCGTTACCCGAGCGCCGGCCCCGCTGTGTGCCTCCATGGGCCGGTGGGGAGATCAAAGATCTCCCTCACCGGCCCACAGACAGGGAGATGCGGCCGCCGGCTGGGTGAGGGAGGGAGGGAGGAGAGAGGACCGGCGGAGCTCAGATCTCGCGAGAGTGAACTCTAACCTGTAGGTTAGAGTTCACTCTCACCACTGGGCCACCAGGGAAGGATGCCAGAACGGCTCCCCTCCCTCCATGGCAGAATGGCACGGCTCCCCCCCCCTCCCAGGATAAAGGTAAGAAGGGAGGGGGGGGGGGGAAATATTATTATTATTTTTTTAGTAAAAAAAAATATTTAAATTTTAAATAAAAAAATACATTCACTCACACACACAGCACCCCCCGACACAGCCCCCAGACACAGCACCCCCCAGACACACACAGCACCCCCCCAGACACACACATCGCACTCAGACACACACATCGCACCCACAGACACACACATC